CAATCTATCAACCAATAAGAGAAATGATAAACAACAGAAAGGTCAGAGGTCAAGTAGAGGAACAGCCAATAGGAGAATCTATACAGTCAATGACACAACAATCGAAGGAAACAACCAACCACAGACCACGTCGTCAGAGCAAGTCACTAAACCATTCACGGAGAGATATTGACAGGTCATTTCATAGTGAAGTTAGTGCTGATGTCGTGTAGAAGGACGATGAAAGCTTCACGATTAAACAACCCAGCTCAGAGAACACAGTACAACCAAGAAATATCAGATCCCGTGAGGAAAACTAAACACTATCTGATGATGATGACACAGATATTTGTGATTATGGTAACAATTGGAGTGTGAATAGTAACAAAGTAGACTGCGTGATACATGGAACAGTTCATCTATCAGTTCACCTGCTCTTGTGGTGCAAGACCGTAGCCAGAGAGTGCTTCCTAGCTTAGTTTTATAAATGTGAAAGTCTGTTAGAAGTCATATTGTAGAACATTTGGCTGATTCCCACCGCTCAACAAAACTAGACAATAACTTTGACATTGTTTATCAAATTCACCCAAACTTCTCACATTTTCTTCCTTTTTAACTCCTTAAAACAGTGTGTAGGCTTTAGCTATTCATGAACTAAAACCTGATTTGTGTGTACCAAGAAGGTACATACAGTCACTGTTTTTGTCATGGCTCGTCCGACCAATACTACAACATGATTTCGCCGCAGAACCCACGTGATCCCACTTTCGACGCCACAATCCAAAATATCAACGGCTGGGTAACCTGCGGCGTGATACGAGTTTAGCGCAATCCCGACGCCAGGGTGGTTCTCAAGTACACACAGTTCACCAGACATCTCAATCCTCTCCATCATCCTATGGCCACACACATCCTGGCCTTATCTCGCCTGTTCATCGACTCGTACGATACTAACCGACCTCCGAAGAAGACACCCCTATCGCCTTGCTGGCATTTCATCAGACCTTGTCCACATAAACAACATCAATGCCGGGACTGTAATGCTGGGGGCCATAAGGATGGTCCTTACCGACAACACGCGTAACGACGTGTAAAAAGGTCATCTTCCAGATATCGCTGCAGATCCCATTCCCGATCCGTAGGTAAATCTCTTCACTTGATAGCTGATTTTTATTCTCATGTATCTATCAGCCGAAAGAATATCGGGAAGACTAGTGACCCCACAGTAAAAAAAAGTCACTCTGTATCAGTCAGATAGATGCAAGAAAAAGACAGGACAATCCAATCTGGTCCCAGATAACATTCTTTTAAAGAAGGAAGTGATATGGGAATAGAGACAAAAGTCTATTCTGGAGAGCGAACAGTCAAAATGTATTTTATGTTACCACTTCTACAATTAGATAGACAGACGATGGATTAGCTAATTAACAGGATTATTTTAAACAACGAAGAACCCATACATTAGCTGTATTTTCCTTTGTTTTTGGTCTTTGGTCTTCGCTCTTTCGACCCTAATACACATCTATCATGTTTTCTCCATTGACTAGTCGGGTCGGGGAGCAGCTAAGAGATTGTTGAATGCTGGCGGCTAACAGTTGATATCCGTGTATTGTTAGCGACCATAGCAGTTTTCGAAACAAAAATGGCTATAACATCCTCCCATCCCCATTAGTTTCCCCTCCTCCTTTGTTAATTTAACCTTTGTATCCTTCCTTTGTCACTATTATTGTTATCATAATTGCTCTCAATTTGACTATTTCTCGGTGTTATTTCACTTCATTGTCTTAACCTTTTTAGCAAATACTGATCTCATTTTGACCAGCTTGTCTGATCTTATTACGCAATACTCTATTGACTTACCACTTTCATCGATTTTTAATCCCTTCCTGAATTATATACCTTCTATAAACCACGCCATATGTTGCGTAACCTACTTTTTTATCATTCATACTTCAACTGTTATTATAATCACAAATACCTTTATCATCCATTTAATTATTATTGTCTATATCATCATACAGTGTTCGTTTTTCCTCACGTGATATAGTTTTTTCGAATATCAGATATATGCATGAATGCACAGGTTGAAAATAAATTCGTTGAAAAGAGTCTCTTCACTGAACATCTTGTTCTTGATATACCTGGAATCCAAATATAAATTCCATCGAGGAAGTGGAATTTCTTTCTCGGACCACTTCATAAAACGTCTAACATGTAACCTGACTTCTGTTTTATAGAATCAGTAAACAGAACATAACTATTCATGACGAAATAACTCTTTGAAAATAATCTGAGTGTTCTCAAACTTCTCAGCTGCATAAAAAGCAAACCATTGCACTTAATTAAGAAATCTTATTTTCACAGACAGACAAATCAAAGTAGAATCTTGAACAGAAGTGCATCGGTCCAAGTTGCCGCACTTCGAAGAAAGAGTGACATTTAGATAAACAGCGCATATGAGGTGAAAGACGAAGGTTGATGTAAGTACTTGCGACTTCAGGGATGGCAATGTGTTACGTTCTTGTCTCGTCACTGTTTCGTTCTTGACCGAACAGCGTGGTCAGTATTACTGGTCGTACCTTCGATCAACGTTCTCTATTTGATCGTATGGTTAATGGAACTTCGAAATTCCTAGAACACCGGTTCTATCTACTAATATTGTCTCCAGTAGCTACAACACTAAGGTCCCACCAGTTAACGCAGAGAGATAAGTATGCTCTACTCGCTCAAAATGAATACATAGAAAATGTACGAGGTCTAAAAAGCGTTAGTGGTCTGATCAGAATGGAAGTGAGTGCAAACATAAAGGTGATTGGTTATTTTCCTCACTCACCTCGCGTAGAGATAGAACCAATGTATACATATGCAGCATTGCAATCGGTTTTACTGCATGTCACCAAAATTCTCCATTCACTCATTCTTATCGCTTCAAGGACCCTAACCAAGCGATACACATGTAGATCATTAGCAAAAGGTCTCGGCAAATTCGTTTACAACAAGACCTATCGTCCGCGCTACAAGAGTTGATCACCAGTTAAGTTTGAGTTTAAATTCAGTTACCGAATATTTTGTCAAAATTTTGTTTGAATAAAAGACCTTGAACTAAGCTGGTAGGTAGGTAGAATTGATCTTTAGTTCTAAGGCTTCCAAATTCAGGTATTGACGAAAATAGTGTGGATTTCTTCCCAAGAAATTCGGAACCAAACCGGACAAGCAACTTCTTAACAATAAATCAAATGTCCAAATTACGCGTAAAATCCAAAACACAGGATTTGTCTGAAATACGTCCCTATATTAATCAACAATATTTAGTAATAAAATACAAACCTCGAATTATGAGGTATCTGTGGGCTAATCGCTATCAAAGCACTTTACAAAGAGTCTGTCAACAGCAAAAACAACAAAACTGTGTCCAAGCTACAAGAAGGGAATATAAAAGACACACATAAGATCTCATGATCAGGTAAAAACGCAAGATAAACAAATGTTCAGGGTAAAATAGACTATCAGGGAACAACGAAAGGAATTACAACACCATCATGAGCTGTGAAAGATACTCATATCTGTAGATGAAGCAACATTATAAGGATACATGGGTTGTACTACTCAAAAATGCCGAGTAGTATAAAACTGAAGACAAAAAGAGAATACGAAGGGAACATCCCATAGGGTACATGAGAACAACTGGGAAGGGAATTAACATAAAGAATCCTCAAAAAAGCAACAATAGGTGTTTCATTCGCTAAGTTGATTACAGCCCTCCTGCATGAATTCAGACGAGAAAGTATAATCTGTCTCATATATCAACAATACTGTCAAAACCAAAAGTTCGTTATCCGATTAATCTACCGGAATCCCAAGATTACAGCAATTTAAATGGCCATCCGCAAAGATATCGACCATCTGCTGAACAAACATCTTGGATTCAAATCAACAAAACAACCTCTATGTCAGTATCCATCAAAGACTAACACTAATTGGAGAACTACTGGAAGCGGTGGACGTCTGTTTCGTCCCAGAATGGGACTCCTCAATAGCGCGCATCTATGACCTTGCCAGGGACCGAATCCACAGCCTTCAGGTTCCGTGGCCAGCACGTAACAAATAAAACCACTGTGCTTGGAACCAGTAATGAACACTTTTCTCCTTCTGTCAGTTCACAATATAACGCACCCTCCATTCAATGTTATCGTTGAATTACTGTCCGATTTCTTTCGCCCCACCAGTCACAACTTCTTTTTATGACTTCGCAAATATTATCTCGAAGTAAATCACTGAAGAATAATTCAATTTGGAGGTTTATGGGTATTTACTTATTGATTTTAAGTTGATATTCATCACATATAAACATCAGTTTATGAACCAATGAAAGCCTGTAAGCACTGGATGAATGTGGCGGTACATCACAAACTGCTCGCTGCGAAACCTTAAGGTCTTCAGTCCGATCCCTGTCAAGTTTTATACTTCTCAGGAAATGTCTGTCCAGTGCTTATAGGTTTTCAATTTTTCTTCAACCGATAATGTCACTGCAAGTAGTATTCACTGTTCCCCTTCCTTTCGATTCAACAGTAATAATACTAAAAGGTAATGAATATATATTTAATGTTTACCACACACACACATACACAATAACTGATTGTTTACACTAGTGGAAAGAGTAATAAAACTTTAGGGATTCTTTTAAACCGCAATTAATACATTACCATTGGTTGAATACTTGAAGAAGGAGGTGAGTATTCAACAGGTTTCTATGTAGACTTCATCAGAAATAATCAGACATAAAATTCAAAATTGATAAAGGATGAAATTGCTTTAATAAAAAAGCAATACTCGATTTATGTATTGTAAATATATACAAAAACTCCCAATCAGATGTGTGTATATGGACACTTTGATGTATGATAGAAACGTATTGACAAATATGTCGTCGATTTCCTTCAATGATATTCAACTCTGTATTATTATAAAAGTATGTTCAAGTGCTTTTTCTCTCAGAATAATAATAAGAAGAAAAAAATCAACTAAACAAAACTAGCTTGTACAGTTGGGAATGAAACAGCATAATTTTGAATTGGATTATTTTTATTAACATTTCGATTATTATTATTATTATTATTATTATTATTATTATTATTATTATCATCATCATCATCATCATCATCATCATCATCATTACTGTTGATGGTGTTAGTCATAACATTCTTGTCTTTATTATCTATAGATGAATGAATTGTTGTCAGAAATGGTTGTTTACAACTAGGTTGACTTCTGTCAATTATTTTATTAATATTGTTATTGGCTTCTTCAATTACGGTGGAATAGATTAGCATTGGATTTTTCTGTTGATTTTTTGTACTACTCAAATCATTATCAATAGTATATCTAGTTGACTTGGAACGTTTTAAATTTGTACTGTATTTTGGTATCATATTTATTTCATCCAAAGTAGAACCAATTTTTGTATAGTAATTTATTCCTTCAATGATTATTTGTCCATAATCATCTTTATTATAATTTCTAGCAATTAAATCATGCATACTTTGATTTAATGATGGATCAGATTTCCATACACTTAAATTTGGTGTATATCTTGGATAACAACATTTATTATTGTCTCCGATAATGTATTGTTGTTGTTGTTGTTCAGAATCTGAAATCGCTCTTAAATTATTAGTTCGATAATTTGATTGAAGTGAAGATTTAATATAGCGATCTGGAGTACTATTCTCCATCATAGAGATAGTCTGCTGTCAATTGACGATAGATAATTAAAATAAGAAAGAAATCAATTTTATAGAAAAGTTTTATGTAAAACTCTCAATCAAACGGAATTATTACTTTATATCTAATGGTAGTAAACTCGATAAAAACTACAGAGATTCCCATGTACCGAAGTGATCCGATTACTGACCTCGAGCCAGCCAATCATACTTTCAAGTAAATAACAATTTCCGGTGTAATGTTTAATGATACATTCAATGAAACTGGGCAAAATCAGGCGATTTCTTTACCTTATGTTTATTTCTTTAACATTTCCCATGTATTTCTGTAGTCAATTTAGTGAGAAACCTACACTTAGGTGTAGCTGCGCTCAACGTGAGATCCTATCATAACGTCTAACTATAGCAGCCAATGGAACGTTTTATGCAGGTCATCTTAGCATATCTCTACTTAGTCAGTTAGTGCTCAATCCAAAACTAAAGGATAGTTCGCCTAATTTTAGCTCTTCATCAATTTAACTGTTCCTGTGGAACAAGTTACATAAGGTGGGCGGTATGATCAGCCAGGTACCTCTCTCCGGATGAGACCATTTACTGCCTCGTTCAGAAAAAACAAACTGATAGTGGTGAAAAATTCCACCCTAACATACCCAGTAGGCAAACATGGGATCATATAGATGCTAATAAAGTTTTCAATGTTATACATCATATCCCAAAAACAATACCTCATGTAGCTCGCCAGTACCTGTTCAACGTAACTGAAGTTCTTATAATAAAGTTAATCTACCTTGAACTATGCATTCAAAAAGATCATATTAAAACGTTATTCCTCCCTAAGCTTTCACATTGAATCAAAGATCACTCTTGTCTTCTTTATTCCTTGTCTTTTCGTTTACCCTCATACTTTTCATTTGGGTACAACATATATCATCCTAATATTGACAAATTAAATAAACAAAAACCGATTTTCTTACTGCCTTTAAATCTTACTCTAGCTTGATTCTACGCTGTACAAATCCCTTTTTATAATTGTAGAACTTGATAAGAGTATTTATTGAACAGAATATTCATTGTTCAAATTGTTGGTTTTTATCCAAAACTGAATCTTTAACCTTCGATTCCAACTCCTCTAACGTGAACATTCTAAGTTCAAGTAATTTGGTAAAACCATTAATTAATTTAAGACGACTCTCTCTATTGCTTCAGTGACCGAGTGAGTAACACTCTGAAATCTGAAGTGATGGGTATGGAGTTCACGTCTCATTGGGAATAGCATCACTCACTGTGGTTCAGCTACACTCACCTGACGAGTCCTAGATAGAACAAAACGCCTATCCTGGATGCTGTGTATGCTATAAACATCAATTTATATGAGAATCTTGTTGTGAAATATTCCCACTGGTAGATTCAAAGAAATAACTTATTTCAAGAGACGTCTGATCATGAAATGATGCTGACAACATATACAATAGAAAATAAACCGTACTACTAGTGGTTGGACAATCTCATCATGGTTACCATACTAACAAGTATCAATTTTTAAGGTAGTATTCATCTCGAATTGACATCAGTGTTATATCTGAGAGCACTGGACAGCTGCCTCGTTTAAGTATGCGAATCGTCAGCAGTGCACACCCACTATTCTACCGTGATAAATACCTGATTAACTGACAAAATCAGCGTAGGACTTCGCATAGGAGTGCATCGGCTCAACTTTCTACACTTCACTGTAGTACAAAAAGAACAGGTGGATAGAAAAAAGAGTGATATGAAAGTTGACAAGGTTGTATATGAGAGACAAAAACAATTTGAAGACAAATGTTGGTGTGAATATTCACGTTTTAGAAGATGTCAAGCAGTGAATACATCTGCGCCATCCGTTGTGACTGATTTTCAGCTATCTCTCCAAGACTCCCCAACCATTTATTCTTTTCGTCCCAGGAACCCCAACCAGGCAGTCTGCATCTCCCTACACGGCTCAGGTCAATAGTCAAAGACTTTATCGACAGCTGCTAGGAATTAGTCTGGCACGGCGCCTTGAGGTAGGCAGTGAATCGGCATGCGTAACATATGTCCAGGTCATCTCAGCCGACTAAGGTTCCCAAACTCGTCAATCAACTTGCCTAGTACCTTCCGCCTGACCTCACATCATGCTACGAAGGCATCTGTCATCAAAACCCTGTAACTGCTCTATGTCTTCTACTTTTAACGGCCATGTCTCACAGCCGTACAACAGGACAGAACGGACTGCGGTGCAGTATACTTTCCCTTTGATAGATAGTTGGATATCTCGCCGTTTAGGCAAATGCGAAACGGGTCATCTGTATCTGAGCTATGATTTCATCAGGAAGCAGCCCGTTTCGGGCTAACACAACACACTCTGCCACTTCAAGCTCTAACATTAAACTAGTAGTTGCAGATCAGTCCTGGAGCATCTGCTCTCATTTGACAGGTGCCAGTGAGACGCATACCAAACGTACACAGATCTATGATCAACGCATTCAGAAGATCGTGAATTTTATCAGAGTCTTCACCCTGGTAGGACAATATCGTCAACTAGATAACCTCCAGAGATAGATATCACCTTGTAATCAGTCAATATTCATACATCTGCAAGCTATAAGCTAGAATGAAATATTTTTTCTGGTATGTTCTAGTCTCAGGCTGGTGTACAGAAGTTGTTAGTGCTAAACACATTTGTGGTTGACAGATGTAGGAATACAGCTTCCACTCAACCAGTGATGGGTTATAGCATCACTAAGGCTCAATGTATGTGACTCGTAATAGCCTAGTTAAGTTAGTAGGAATGTCTTTCGAATTGGTAAGTGAAGTTACTTAATATTTTCTTGAATTTGTATGAACGATGGTAATGATTTGTTGAAATACAGTTGATCTTAACATTGTTAATAAACATTTATAGTGAATGTACAAGAGTGATGACAGAAAATCTAGACTGCCTCAGAATTCAAACCAGTTGCATATCAGATGTTCTATCGACTGAACCATGGACAGTCAGTTACTGCTTGAACCCCTTTTATAACTCACTGAGAAACGGGGTTAGGCTGTCCTGTTAATTAGTGAGATATAAATCTTCGTCCACACAATCATCGTCATTATCATCATACTACCCGCCTAATTAGATCTCATTCAAACAAAATATTTCATTATTTAGCTGATTTGTCAATATATGAAGTGATAATGACAAGTGACTTGATAATTGTTTGTTCTCTGAGCTTTTAAGCGTTTTTCTTTGATGTCAACCTTCAGAGTTTCTGGGTTACAGGTGAGAATGATTTTGATCACCTGACCTAATAACCGATTGTTGATTTACCTGCTTGATTCCAGCTGACTGGTCTGTTTCTTAGTAGTTCCTACATTAGAACAGCGTCTATATGCCTGTTAACTAATATTCGATGGAAGTACCATGCTTCCAGGAGTCTTTATATGTTCTTTGACCTTATATATGTCTTAGTTATTTCCACGTTGTACCAGTCGAAGTTATGTTTGTGCTTATTCACTTCTATCGACATCATTAATGGTATATATGGACTGTACAATTTGTAAGCGGTTTACCAAGGGTTTATCGAATACACAGCAAATAAGTCTATCCACGCCAACTGGTCATGTTCAGTTGGCTTGAATAGATCATGTCTCTGATATGTATGTTTATGTGGGAATAAAGATGATGAATTTCACTCAACAGCAGAGAAATAACTTCTCCATGTTTTTATCATTCAAATCAGATCAAGTTGTCCATTAGATTGGGTACTGTCTAACTACTTATATTACTGAGTAGTATATTTCGCAATATCAAAACCCAGTACTATTTTATTGACGTTTAAATACAGTACTGAAGTACTTCGAAGAGTTTGACAAAAAAGCAGTTAGAATGTGATTTAACTGCAACCCAACTTACAAGAGTACTCAGATGTTCAGTATTCGTTTAAATGTGATACTGTACACCAATACTTTACACGCTGATGGATCGTAGCTAGTAGTGGAATCCAGGATATGCATTTCGTCCTATTTGGGACTCATCAGCTGGATGTACCTGTACTAAAAAGTCGCACAAGAAGCGGCTATTGTGGCTCTGTGTTGTAGTGGATTGCGCGCTGGCGTTTGAAGCGATCGCTCCCGAGTCCGAATCCCGGCGAAGATAACATAACTCACTGGGAGGCAGATGCGTCCAGCTGACGAGGCCCGAATAGGACGAACTGCGCATTCTGGATTCCACTGCTAGCCACAACCCATCATTAACATAATTAGAACACTGGCAAAATCTAGGCATCCGCGCAGCAGCCCATATGCTAATAGAGACTGATCAATTCGGTCTAATCAACGACAGTATCATATAAAAACAATTACACTAAATACTTTGAATGGTTAACTTTTCATACTGTTCCTCCTCATTCATCTCATCAAAGAGGTTAGTTTTTCCAGCGGAAGAGGACTGTTCGATTCAATTCCTAATGCTGTTCATAGCTTTCAAATGCTTTCGCATTCTCAAGTGCCTTAGTTCGATTTCGTCTTCTTACTTGTTCCCTTCATATTTCCTTTTTATATTAGCAGTTTTGTACTACTTAGTAATTTTAAGTAGTATAACCTTATAACAGTAGTATCCTTATAATGTTGCTTCATCTACAGATATGAGTATCTTTCACAGCTCATGATGGTGTTGTAATTCCTTTCGTTGTTCCCTGATAGTCTATTTTACCCTGAACATTTGTTTATCTTGCGTTTTTACCTGATCATGAGAACTTATGTGTGTCTTTTATATTCCCTTCTTGTAGCTTGGACACAGTTTTGTTGTTTTTACTGTTGACACACTCTTTGTAAAGTGCTTTGATAGCGATTAGCCCACAGATACCTCATAATTCGAGGTTTATATTTTATTACTCAATATTGTTTATTAATATAAGAACGTATTTATTTATCTATCTATCTGATGTTCATCTATGGAAGAGGAGAACTACCCTTCAAATTGACTGACTGCCTATAAACCGTTCATAAAACACCATGAAAGTAACATTTCAAGTTGATTCTCTATTCACAGACCATATCTTAACTCTTTACATTAAACACAAATCCTTTTAAAATTATTAGAAATTCAATGTATATATACCTGATAGGAGCTGACTGTATCTTTGATTGGACGAAATCCAAATTTAGATGCATCCCAAACATTCCGTGGAATAAAATGCCCACCTGATACTCCACCATTATATTCATTAAAATAACTGATACTCGCATTAGAAGGATCAACCTGTTGCTGTAGTTGCTGTTGTTGTTGTTGTTGGGGTCTATGATCACCAACATTGTAGGTATGTAACATTCCATTACCTTAAAAATTAATAAAAGTAAGAGCTTACAAACGTTTGTACTCATTAAAAAGCAAGTTTAGAAAAAATATTTATGCAAGCATAAAAGTGAAAACCGATTATTCTTATTATATTTATATCGTTAGAAAAAATAAATAAGTAAATCTATTTCAGAGACGAAGAAGAACCATTGAAAAACGTAGAAGCACTGGACAGCTGTTTCGTCCTAGTATAGGACTCCTCAGTAGTGCGCAATCCACAACCCTCAGGTTCCATGGCCAGCACCCTATCAACCTTACCATAAATTGACTTATCTCCATGTTCTACAACTCTAAAGTTTGGCCTTTAGAATGTGAAAAAGATGATGATCACTTGGTTTCTTTGACGTGTTAGCCATAACTTGTGCCTAATACATCTTAACTAAGGGGTCACTTGGCACTATGAAAGCTTTTATAACAATAAGTATGCCCCTCCAACCAGTGTATTCACTATATTTCCTCCAGATTCAAGCACCATGTGAAGTTAATTTAACAGTTTGTTGCTATTTGTGAATAATTCGGCCAAATATTCAATTTTTAGAAAATGGTCAGGGAGTGAATACATCTGTGTCATTATGATCAATTTCCAGAAATTAACCACTGATACCTTCGTCACGAGGACCGCAGTCAGACAGTCTACACCTCCCTACACGACTCAGACCAAGAGTGATCGACTGGTGATAGGTTTTGATCCCACTTCCCTGAACCCTTTTCCAACTGAATCCAAATTCTCCCTAGCATGGCACCTTGAGGTACCCAGTGGCTTGGTATACGCAGTACATGTTCACATGGTTCCCAACGTCATCAATCGACTTGCCTATCTTTACCCAGTCCCCCCCCCTCCGCCTGACCTCAACATTGCTCAAATCGTGATTCTACCAAACGCATGCAATCCTACAAAGACACCCGTGATCAAAACCCTATTGGTGCTTCATATCTTCGACTTTCAACGAACATATCTCACAGTCGTCTGACACAAAAGAACGGACTACTGTGAAGTATACTCGTCCTTTTGGGGCTAAAGACGACTCAAGTAGGTAAATGCCAATAGGAACTTCTGTATCCGAGCGGAGATTTCGTCAGCGGCCGATGCAACTCCCCACATAAGTCAGGTGATCGACATATCCTACCAGCTCACCCTCTATCACTAAACTGGGAGTGGTTGCAGATCAATCCTGGAGCATCATCTTACATTTGACAGGTGAGAAACCCTTGTCAGAATTTTCACAAAAGGAAAAGGAAAAACATAAAACAACTCCTACAATGGATGATAACGAGTAGGGTGAACCACGGTTAGCTCAGATAAGCAATATAATGCTCCCCCTCCGTAATTTAAGTAAGATTTAAATTGATATGAGAAGTTCTGACTGGGCAGCCCCCAGTGTGAATGAGATCGAGTGATAGTAACTTCTCACGAATTCACATGGTAATCAGTGAAAACCCTTGGTGATTGAACACAAATAGAAATCTGGTGAGCAGTTGGACCTTGTAGCTTAGTAGGTATGGTATTGAGCAGGATACCCAATCGTTACTGGTTCGAATCCCACCATGCCCAGTATTTCGATTTTATTTTCAATCATCACAAAGCATCTATAACGAAAGAGAGACACGATTATAATCCAACAGAGGGAAATATCCCATGGTGTAAACTGACAAACTGATTGATCTACCAATAGTTTAACAATTAAAGTAAGGCATAGAGAACTCACATACACCCCATACACGGTTTCGGCTGTTTTTTCTTAACAAGGAAAAACAAACCACCATAGGATATTTGAAGCGGATAAAGAAATCAGACACAATAATGGCTTTTTCAGATTACCCAGACGCTTGCGGTAATGGCTACTAAAGATTTGAGGGTAATAACCCCATTGTAACTTGTTTTGTGTACAGTAAGCTGTTAGCTGGGCAATCCTGACATTAGATGTATTGGGATAAGTTATGGATGGTGATACTGTGATCCATCATGAAATGAATTTGGCTTCATTGGTCATCATATACTTCAATGTATGATGTTACCTACAGCAGAGACAGAATGAGAAACACTTCACGGTAGTCGAATGCGTGCACTGACACTATTGTTGAAAATCCGAATGTTGTTCACACTTTATGCTGAGTGGAGTGGAGTAGATCTCCACACTGATTCCAGATTGTTGAAGTGAGGTCTGTCTTACTGTGTCTCACATCCTGTCTTTGACATCCTCATCGCCATGTGTGTGTGTGTGTGCCGCGTGTAGATGAAACGGTGCTGCGTAGGTAGGTAGGTAGATAGGTAGGTGGGTGAGTGTGTAGGTGAAAGAGACAACTTGTTTTAAATTTCTCCCATTCATGGTGATCAGTGCTTGTTGTTGTTGTTGTTGGATGTTGTTGATTGGGTATTTTCATCATGTCTGTCTTGTCTATGTTCACCTGAAGAAGGTGGTGTCTTCCGTCACTGCCTCGTGTCTTCTGTCAACTTGTTGGTTTTCGATATGTGTAGATCTTCGAGTTTGTGCGAGAAGACATTAGACATAAATCACGATGGGCGAAATTCAAATCTTCTAGAGTCTTTTCATCGTTCATACGCCGTATACCCATCTTCTTACTGCTCCTCACAGTTGTCTATTGCATGATCTAGTCGAGTCGAGTCCAATCCAGTTGACCACAATGAGGAAGATAATCGGTGATAGTAGGTGGCTACCTTGTCTTACTCCTGTCTTTACTTCACTTCGAAGGCATCACTGGCTAGCATGTAGCATCATATAGCATATAAATGCTGTTGAATGAGGTTGATAGAGGGTTTGTGATACTGAAACTGTAGTGTTGAAGCAGCTGCCTGTCAAATTACTTCTCAGTCAACGCTTTGGAAGGAAGGCCTATTCAAAGTAGATGAAATTGAGGTACAGGTATAGTGGACTGGCATTCTATGCTCTGTTCTATGATGATGAGTAGCGTAGCGTTGCAATTTGATGCGCATATGATTTGATCTTTCTGAAGCTAGCCGACGTGTTACGATGGTAATTTTGAATGCATGGCATTTTTTATTCTCTCCAGGATGATACGGCTTAATATTTTGCTTAGGCGGATAGGCGCGTAATTCTGTGCCAGTTCTTGCAAAGTTCACCCATCTTTCTTAGTTTCTATATCTTACCATTATTTAAATCTTTAGTATTATACTGTTCTATGCCTTTTTATTTCCTCTGTCTTCTCCTAAGAATTCCTTAAACATGACTGATGCGTTTCTTATTATTTTACTCTTCATCCTTCAGACCATCTTCGTTGATCCCGTCGATATGAATTGTACCATTTTGAGCTAATAGATGATTTTACCTGACTCTAAGACCCTTCTATCCTGATTTTCTCAACTCAACTCATCATTATTTATTCAGATTACCTGGCTTAATGAGGAAAATGTATATGATGAAACGTAAAATTCCAAATATCGTCAAGCAGTTGTCAGCCCCACTTTGAAATATATAGCTTTTATTTCGTTGCACAAATGAAACCAAGGTTAGGGAATATATTCACAATATAAGAGGATAGAATTTGCAAATGATTTACAAATTCCATGGTCCATATTGACATTTTTTATAGCTGAGTAGTTTTCCAACTGCCTAACTTGAATTGTTATTGTTAGAAATCACTCAGGCTAATATGTAGATTTCGTCAGCCAATCAGATCAGAGTCATCTAAACACCGAAAGGCTGTGCAATTTGTAGGTCATTTGCGAACTAAACATTCTAAGTATACTGGTGTCCATGCAACTCACCTAGCCAAATTCAGGTGGTCTGACCTAATTCAGCTCTGAGTTCAATTCGTACGGATATTACCACTGATGAGCTGGTTCGGTTCCAAAAGAGCGAAACGGTCACCTGGTTTTAAGATCACCCTGATCTAGCTGGCTGGCAATATTCTACAGATCATCTTGAGTAGTTTCTAATTACTCAAGTTGTTTGGTAGTAGTATCTTTCGATACACCCGTAACAATTGAGAGAATTATAAGGTATTAATTCTATTGTATTTCATCGCTTTATTTATTTACACATGTTGAACACTACACAGAAATAAACAGTTAACTGATGCAGTCCGATATATGCGTGTGGACACGAACAACAACTTTTTAGACTTTCCTTCTGATGCTCGCTCAACTCTTCGGAAAATAGGAAAAACGATAAGGCTACAGAAGATGTACTGAAGAGTCCAAATATGTACTAAACGCAATCATCTATATGTGGTTTATACTGGCTTTGGTCATTACCAGCTCCTTCTCAAAGAGTATTCTTTCTTGATTTCACCTCCTCAACCAATCTGATATTTACACGTATGGTCACGTATCTTTTCTCGAAACTTTGGAGTATTTTCATTGATGATGAAGGATTTTAGGGCTTTTGAACCTTTCTGAAGGGTCTGGACAATCATAGTGCATACCATAACATTAACAGAAAACTCATAACTTCAGGCTCAGCTGCAATGATCGACGATAAACATAAACCCTATGCCAATCAAAAATGATTCTTCCTTAATTCGAAATCTCTATATTGCTCACCATTTAACGAGCGTTACAGTAGCTTTCGTATTTATGTTCTTACCAGTAAAAAGTAGAAAAAATTCTGAAAAACGAGGAGAAACTAGTTTTTCTACAAAATTATTGTTTAAAATACTGTGCCTGATAACTACTACTTGTTGTAATGTCATGAAAGCTACTTATAAGAATGCATATAAGTAGTCTATATAGTAGTGTCAAAAGTTACGACGAAGGATTGGTTAGATAAGAAATTAGGCAAAGAGAATTCAACTAAACTATTGGAAATGTTAACAAGTCACTCTCTTTACATCCTTCTTATTTAACTATATATGAAGTTTTCTTCCAAATAAGATCATCACTGAAATAGAAAACCCTTCTCTATGTTTACTTTACCCTTTCTATTAATAATTTATCAAATATTTTCGTTAAACTCCTAAAATAGGTTTTCTCAAAACTACAATTTGTTAGTTTAAAACCTAACCAGTTAATTCAAAGCCCATGAAAGAGAAAAAATTGTCAAATATGTTTTCTGCTTACAAAACTGAAATTCATGTTACTACAGGTAATTAAAGCAACCTAACTAACAGGATGTGATGGATATCTCATCTTTTAGAGTAGGTCAAGTAAAAATTTCAAGGCGAACTTATGATTCCTGAAACAGCATACATTAAACATAGTCCCACTAGCTGATTTTAGGTTGGTATTCATTATGAACTGACATCAGTTGGAGGAATAATGAAAACTTGGGAAAACTGGATAGTTGCTTCGTCCTAGTATGGGACTCCTCAGCAGTGCGCACTCATGACCCCGTTCCACTAAGGACCTTCGGGTTCCGTCGCCAGCACATTACCACTTATTAATTTTTAGAGTTTTAGAACCTGGGAAAGACTTACTATCCTAACAGTCACATGATGTATTTATCAGGCATGCATTGATCACTAAAGAAAATCTCTGATACAATGAGAAAAAATAAAGACTCGATTACAATCCAAATATGGGTATTTTTTTTACAAATGGAATTTGTCTTAAACGGATCTTTTAACCGATATTACTAAACCTATTGATTTCACCCTATTAACCACTCATTTTTGTTCTTTGTCCGTAGTAGTTTGAACCGACGCCCTAGAGATCCTGTTTAACTCATATGCAGACTTAATTAAGATGAATATAGGCAGACTACTGAAATAAACTTTAAAGTAGTATATCTACATTGACATCAATTCCACCAACTTTGAACTAAGTGTTAGTCTAATGGTCATCGAATTCCTAATCGATTCACAATTTCAGAAACAAATATATACTTGATTACAAGCAGAAACTATGTCCATTAAAATGTGTTTATCGTCAAAATATTGCAAATCACCTACTGTTAGGTGAATGATTACAATAAATCGAGTAATAAAGGTTTTTAAACTGGTCCCCCTGAGAATTTCCACCTAATATAGACAGTTATTAAGAAATGAAATTTCTGATGAATGGATAATGAGATACTTCTAAAGTGTTTCATACATACCACTTGACAGTCTATTCAAAATACAACAGAAAAGTGCTAGTCTTTTCACGATGATAATAAATTATTAAAGGAGTATAGATCGATAGGTTCCAATAGTAAATAGTAACGAAAACATTTCTGTTTCCGCACTGATATACTGGGTCGAATTCCTCGACCTTCCATGTGGGTACCTTGATATTGCACGACTACTCATTATGTTATAATCTGTTTGGTGGCTAGCAGTGGGATGCAAGACGCGCATTTCGTGCTATTTGGCACTCGTCAGCCGGATGTACTTGCATCTCAACGTGTGATGTTGGTACCATGGAGACTCGGACCTCGTACTCATTGTTGTGAATGCCAGTTTCTTATCCATTAGCTCACTGAGGCACAATCGAGACCTAGTAACTAAGCATATACAAGTTACGTAGACTATATAAATAGTACTATCAGGTTCCAAAAAAGCAATCTTTTCGGAACTGGGATTCAGGAGTGAAATTATTGATGAAACGCATTACGAGTCCTACAAAAAGTATTTTTCGTTTCTGAATTGTCTTATTTTCAACAACCGTTTGATTCTCAGTACAAGAAACAAGAAAAGACTGCAGGATTCTGCCACTTCTGTGTGCATTTACCAATTCAACTGCTATCGAGATTACTAACATACAGCATAAGATGAGACAGATCCATTATCGAATTTCTGGACACCATTCATCATGGTTGACTAGGGAAAGTCAAGTGGATCGTGGTAAAAACATTTGAAATTATTTATCAAGTACCAATTAATTTACTACGTGGACTATACATTCGGCTACTTCACATAACAGAGGTGATTACTATTCACCTTTACAAGCCAAACCTTTGTTTTCAAAGAAAATTCACCAAACATTTACATCCAACTGACCTTCAAACATGACGTAACTTCTCGTATTACATTGTACCGCCCTCCTTACTTTCCTTCTCTTAATATTCTTCTGCTTTCTTGTTCACAATAATAACTGACTATTTATTGTTTATGTCTGACCACTGGAAAAATCAGCATAGAATGCCAGTCAAATGGATCGTTATGTTAACTTCATCGACTTTGAAAAAGTCTTGCTTCACAATAGCGTAGACCAAGAAGTAATTTGATAGGCAGCTGCTTGGACACGACGGTTTTCGTGCTACAAATCTTTATAAACGTCATTCAAAAGCAGTTACATCCTGCCTGATGCTACATGTCAGCCAATTGATTCAAAATGGAAAACTAAGCGATGCCTTCGATGAGAAGTGACATGAAGAGAAGAGTAAGATAAGGTTGCAGCCTGCTATCACCGATCATCTTCCCTGACTGTGGTCAACTGGACTGCACTGAACTCGACTCGACTCCACTGCATATTGCAACAAACAACTGTGAGGAGCAGAGAGAAGATGGGCATACGATGGCTGAATGGATGCGATGAAAAGACCCTAGAAGATTTGAATTTCGCCCATCGTGATTTATGTCTAATGTCTTCTCGCACAAACTCGAAGATCTACACATATCGAAAACCAACAAGTTGACAGAAGACACGAGGCAGTGAAGGAAGACGCCACCTTCTTCAGGTGAACATAGACAAGACAGACATGATGAAAATACCCAATCAACAACATCCAACAACAACAACAACAAGCACTGATCACCATCAATGAGCTACACGGTTTCAACTACATGCGGCACACACACGGCGATGAGGAAGTCAAAGCCTGGATCTCAAACACAGTAAGACAGACTTCACTTCATCAATCTGGAATCAGTGTGGAGATCTACTCAACTCCACTCCACTCAGCTTAAAGTGTGAACAAAATACGGATTTACAATGCTAATCTCAGTCAACTAAGTCTCTGCTTCTATGTGATGACTGAGAGACTGACCGCATCACGAATACCATTTCAAACAAACTACAGACATTCATCATCAACACCTGCTGCCCACACTCACTCGATACTGAAGATCACATCAGACCAGATGACCAGAATAATAAGAATAAACAACAAGGAACAAGGAACTCGGGCTGGCTGGTTGGCTGGCTCGCTCGTTGGTTGGCAACGAACCAACTAACCAACCAACCATGAACCCATCGCCCAACAAATATGCAGACGAAGAAAGTGGAGATGGATTGGATTGGATTGGATTGGACATAGAGTGAGAAGACGATTTGTGGACATCACGCGCCAGAAGAGGCTAGGCTAGCCTAGGCTAGGCCAAGTCCTCGAGTGGAACCTAAATGGGTAACGATGAGTTGGGCGTCCGACGTGAGGGTGGCATGGAGATAGTATGAGTAAGAAATGAAAGGTTTTGGAGAGTTGTGCAGGGAGGTTGAAAAGACTGGTGAGAAGAGAGTGAAATAGTGATGTGCTACTGAGGCCATGTGTTCACTAGGAACCCAGGGGACAAGTAATAAGTATACTGGAAAATACTCTCTGTTTACTTTGCTAAAACCTAATATTTACTGTCATTTAAAGTTGTCTGAAGGCGATACCAAAAATCATGAATTACAGTGAACTAGCTTTATGCTAGGAGTTTAATCTTTTGCTGTAATCTAAATAAATGAAAAAAAATTGCTCAGTGCTAGTATATTAAAGTTTGTAAATATATTTTGATGATGAAGATGGGTACTACACAGCACTAAAGTGAGACTATGAATAATAATCCCTTTTGAAGGTTTATGAGGATGTATTTATTGATTTCAATTTGGTATTCAATCATGGAGTGACATGAGTTGGAGGGACCGTTGAAAACTTGAAAGCACTAGACAGCTGTTTCATACTAGTATGAGACTCTTCAGTACACTAGTGACTTGCTTCGAGATGAGATTTCCTGAAGTTGTAGTGAGAAACCGTGACCTGTGAGCCAACCTAAGTCGGACGTGATGACAATTACTACTCAACGACAGCATTGAATGGTCACACCATGTTGTAGGTTAGCAGAATTAGGAAACTGCGGTACACTAAATTCCAACTCAGCTGCTGGCCACGAAACCTGAAGGTCATGAGTTCAACCCCTGACAGGGTCGGGAATGTAGCACAGTGGAGGAACTCCAAACCAGAATGAAACGGCTGTCCAGTGCCCCTAGGTTCTCCAAGTGATGTCTGCCCGTTATATATACCAACTTGAGACCATAGTTTCTTCAAAAACATCTCCAATTCATTCAAAATCGAATGTAACGTATTATATAAAATCAAGTTATTTAGCTTAGTGATCACATTACAAAACTACTCCTATAGAACTCAGTAAACACTTCGAAAGAAACAATATAAGTCTATTCATTAACTAATAACCCATTGGTTTACTCAACGAAGTCATAGAAAAAGCTAGTTGTTATCTTAATACCTCAGTTGTAACGTCTGTATTAGTTCTGATGTTGATTAAGACATATTCAAATCTTTGAAGAAGCATTTGATTCCTTTAAATTATCTTTATTCACACAAAGTCAACATAGAACTTCACAAACAGGTACATTGGCTCAAGTTGCCACACTTCACAGTAGTACACAAAAGAACAGGTGGATAGGAAAAGGAATGATATGAAAATAGATAAGGTTGTGTATGAGAGAATAAACAAATTTGGAGACAAAGGTTGGTGTAGCTATCCAAGCTTTAGAAGAGTGAATACAACTGTACCCCTACGATTAATTTTCAGCCATATCACAAAGATTGGTCAGTCAGCGACACCCCAGGCTCAGGTAGTCTACATCTACCTACGTGACTTAGATCAAGAGTGAGAGACACCATCGGCTGGTATCACGTCCTAATTCTGGCCACTCTAAACCCTTTTCCTCTCTATACACCTTAATAAGAGTATAAAAACCATCCTAACAACCAATATGGTTTCATGATAGATATACAATAAAATACGCAAAAGAGTAACAGCAATCTACTACTGTAAGCATACAAGTGATACCGAAAAAATATGACTGACTTACCTGGTTCATAGCCTTGATATCCATCTAGCCTACTTTGAATATGGCCTCCTGCACCAACAGAAATTGGCATAAATTGATGATATCCACTATGCTATACGATTATAAATGAAAGAGAAGAGAAAAAATTGTTTCAACATTATTCGTAAAACAAGTCTACTGAGATACTGAATGCGTAAAATCGATTGAGTTATAATCTTGTCATCATAAAACAACTCAAACAGTTGTAAATGAAGAGGCTTTATATAAAATTGTAAACAAAGTATAGTTGTTTAACAACTAATGCTTATGTGAATGGAAGAAGAAGGATAATCATCTACACAGATTGTGTCACAGGTAAGATTAAAGGTTAATTTATGATGATGTCATACGAAAGTCAAACAACTACTCTATTCAGTCCTGTTGAGTCAAACATGATCACCAAGAGTTCATATCAATATTAAATGTCCCCTAGGTTCCTAGTGCAATATATGGCTTCAGTAGCAAGTCACTAATTCACTCTCTTCTCTCTCTCTCTCTCTTCTCAAACTGGCTACACGAATATCCACAACCTTTACTTTCTTCCTCACACAATCTCCTCGATGTCGCCCTCGCGTCAGACATCCAACTCATCGTTCCCCATTTAGGTTCCACTCGAGGACTTGGCCTAGCCTAGGCTAGCCTAGCCTCTTCTGGAGCGTGATGTCCACAAATCGTCTTCTCACTCTATGTCCAATCCAATCCATCTCCACTTTCTTCGTCTGCATATTTGTTGGGCGATGGGTTCATGGTTGGTTGGTTAGTTGGTTCGTTGCCAACCAACGAACGAGCCAGCCAACCAGCCAGCCAGCCCGAGTTCCTTGTTCCTTGTTGTTTATTCTTATTGTTCTGGCCATCTGATCTGATGTGATTTTCAGTATCGAGTGAGTGTGGGCAGCAGGTGTTGATGATGAATGTCTGTAGTTTGTTGAAAATGGTATTCGTGATGCATCCAGTCTCTCAGTCATCACATAGAAGCAGAGACTTAGTTGACTGAGATTAGCATTGTAAATCCGTATTTTGTTCACACTTTAAGCTGAGTGGAGTGGAGTTGAGTAGATCTCCACACTGATTCCAGATTGATGAAGGGAGGCCTGTCTTACTGTGTCTCACATCCTCATCGCCGTGTGTGTGTGTGTGTGCCGCGTGTAGTTGAAACGGTGCTGTGTAGGTAGGTAGGTAGGTAGGTAGGTGGGTGAGTGAGTGGGTGGGTGGGTGAGTGTGTAGGTGAAACAGACAACTTGTTTTTGATTTCTCGCATTCATGGTGATCAGTGCTTGTTGTTGTTGTTGTTGTTGGATGTTGTTGATTGGGTATCTTCATCATGTCTGTCTTGTCTATGTTCACCTGAAGGAGGTGGCGTCTTCCTTCACTGCTTCGTCTCTTCTGTCAACTTGTTGGTTTTCGATATGTGTAGATCTTCGAGTTTGTGCGAGAAGACATTAGACATAAATCACGATGGGCGAAATTCAAATCTTCTAAGGTTGATCATCAAGAATAATAACATGCGATGAAGTATCTACTTGCCCATTTTAACAAGTCAAAAGAATGTACGCAAATCATCTAAAATAGAAGGAGGAAAGTAATATAAACCCAGAAGAAATGGGGATAAAGAAGCACTAAAAATGGCGAAATTTTCATTTTAGTCTGCTCATCAAAAATGTTGCATAGTGATATACTATCTGATATGAATATGGACAATAAATTAAATCCAGTAAATGGTAGTGTTTTACTATGTGACATTACTAACGAACAGACTAAAATGGAATGACATTCGACCACAATGTTCAACTTTTACTTCCATAGAAAAAGTTTATTGAACAATGAAAGATGAATGCATACACAACATTGTGATCAATAATGAATTGGTGTTGTTAAGCCCTACTAAGTTATAAATTCCTATGGATTTCCCCCCAGGTAGTCAGTCAGTCAACACTTTCCGATACAGATCATGTCAAGCAAAAAATGGTTTCATGTATTCAAACAATATCTTATAATCTAACCACAATATGACTACTAGTGCTACTTCTATTACTACTACTAATAATAATAATAGTAATATTAATAAATAAATGATAATAATAATAGTAATGGCTTTATTCTGAAAGCTATTTCGAGAATACTCTACAGAATTTTCAGCATGTCATATAGCATCAGTTAGATAGAGACGGTGTATATGTATACATAGCAAAATGAAATAAGTAGGAATTACATGAAAAAAAGATAAGAATGTTCATTCTATGCATAACTTTCTTCAAAATGCTCAGTTAATTCAGGTAGACAATCACATTAGTAATTTAGTTCATAATACATAAATAGACTAACATGCTGATCGTCATCATCAACTAGTTTACTTCGAAAAACAGAAGTTGATTACTTAGTTAGTTAGTTCATTTCTAATACTTTCTTCATCACACAACAGACGAGTTAAATACGGTATCGTAGAGTCTTTATATTTTGTAGTATGTGCATAAAGTCTTATGTACTTGATTCTTGTCTTTCCAGATGACTGACACTCAGAGAGCTTTGAGTGAAGAGAATGCTGATCATCTGATAAAATAACTCCTACTAGATGTTTACATGAGCTAAAATGTTTATCCACAACTGTTTTAACTAGAAAGCTTAGAGGTACATCATCAGTTCTGTTGATCATCTTCATAGTTCTACGCAATAGAGAATAGTCTTTTATCAACAACCCGAGAAAAAATGAAGGAGAACAGTGGAGGAGAAGAGGCAAGCTGCCGGAGTTTATAAAAAAAATCGATGTGGACATCAGTCCTGTACACGCGTCACGTATATCAAAAGCTAAACTCGTGCAAAGAAACGTCATAAAGTAACTGACCAGTCATTACAGAATCCATATCTCTTAGAAACTCCACGGTATGTTGCTTCTTGTCACTTCTTATAGTAGTCAAGATTACCCATCAGTAAGAAAGTTATTTTGTAACTTTTTATGAAGAAATAGTATTCAGTCATTCACTATTTACATATTGTTAGGCACCTGGAAATTAATGAAAGTGTATCCACAACAAGCAATGCCCAACAAAAGTCAATAGCCCAAGGTTAGTTTATATCTTGACTCTGAATAAGGATATTCCTGTTCAAATGGTGTGAATGGTTCACATTCTATATGTTCGTAAGATGATGAAAACCTATCTTAGATTTAAAAAAAATACAATTTTAGTTTTTATGACATTACCGACACGTTAGACATGAACCCACTGTGTTACATATCTCATATGAAACGGGAAGCAGAAAGCCGAGTATAAACAACCTTTTATCATGCATAAACAAACCTATTTTGTGCTAAGAATATGTTTATTTGTATTGGTCCTGTGTTTCTCCAGTCAGTCATTATTCAAAAAAATCACCACACATTCATTTGTTTATTTGGTGGTTTACTTGGTCACTAGCAGTGGAATCCAAATACGCTTTTCATCCTGTTTGGGACTCATCAGCTGGACGTACCTGCACTCCGGTGAATGATATTGTCTGCAATGAGGCTCGAATCCCATCCCCATCGCTTCAAACCCCAGTGGTATCCTCTGGGGTACAGCAAGCACCTTTTGCCCAAAGGGTATCAGTTGTTGTTTACTGATAATTGTAATTTCACGTTACTATACAGGCTCGAATTGCTCGACCTCCGTTGACAGATGGAATCTTGGATACTGCCGGATATCAATGATGTTGTATCCATTTCATTCCCCATTGGCCTAGTGAATACCGCTTTAGCATTTGAACCGACGGGTACTGGGTTCGAGACTGAATGGGGGAAACACCACTCACTAGGATGGAGGTATATCCGGTTGACGAGTCCCAAACAGGACGAAACACGCGTCCTAGAATCTACTGCTAGTCGCAAAAAATGAATGCAGCTGATCATGTTTAATTGCAAACTTCATTAGAAAATTTCAAGTCAGCATATTTCTATTGTCCAACTATATATTTTAGCTAACTGTTATTGTCATTCATCTTTTCTGAGTTGTGCCTATAGTACCGTTCCTGTAATAAATTGAATCATTGTTGCATTCAATTTGTTCAGTTGCTCATGAAAGTTATTTACCCCATTAGTTTCACATTTTCTATTGACAGTACATTAAAGTATATTTATCAGTCATTATCACTCATTCAAAAGCTATATGAAGATGATGATGATGTTAGATGCCAGTCAAATGGTTCACAATGAAAACTTCAGCGATACCTTCAAAGTGAAGTGAAGAGAGAAGTAGGACAACGTTGCCACCCACTATCATCAATCATACTTCTCATTGTGGTCAACTCGACTGCATCTTGCAACAAACAACTGTGAGGAGCAGTAAGAAGATGGATATACGGCGTATGAACGATGAAAAGACTCTAGAACATTTGGATTTCGCCCATCGCGATTTATGTCTAATGTCTTCTCGCACAAACTCGAAGATCTACACATATCGAAAACCAACAAGTTGACAGAAGAGAAGAGGCAGTGAAGGAAGACACCACTTCCTTCAGGTGAACATAGACAAGACAGACATGATGAAGATACCCAATCAACAACATCCAACAACAACAACAACAACAAGCACTGATCACCATGAATGCGAGAAATCAAAAACAAGTTGTCTCTTTCACCTACACACATGCACAAAATCTGGATTTACAATGCTAATCTCAGTCAACTAAGTCTCTGCTTCTATGTGATGACTGAGAGACTGGCCGCATCACGAATACCATTTCAAACAAACTACAGACATACATCATCAACACCTGCTGCCTACACTCACTCGATACTGAAAATCACATCAGATCAGATGACCAGAATAATAAGAATAAACAACAAGGAACAAGGAACTCTGGCTGGCTGGCTGGTTGGCTGGCTCGCTCGTTGGTTGGCAACGAACCAACTAACCAACCAACCATGAACCCATCGCCCAACAAATATGCAGACGAAGAAAGTGGAGATGGATTGGATTGGACATAGAGTGGAAAGACGGTTTGTGGACATCACGTGCCAGATGAGACCAGGCTAGGCTAGGCCTAGTCCTCGAGTGGAATCCAAATGGGGAACGATGAGTTGGATGTCTGACGCGAGGGCGACATCGAGGAGATTGTGTGAGGAAGAAAGTAAAGGTTGTGGATATTCGTGTAGCCAGTTTGAGAAGAGAGAGAGAGAGAGAAGAGAGTGAAGTAGGGACTTGCTACTGAAGGCATATATTCCACTAGGAACCCAAGGGACAAATAATAAAAATTAAAAGGTAACGTGAATCGAAATAATTGAGAAAAACAGAATAGACTGTTGGAAACAATAGGCAAGAAACTCTTGTTGGCACTCTATAACAGTCGGTGAAGATACGATTGAGTTATTCACGTCACAACTGACTGAATTAGATACAAGAACTAATCATTGAAGAGTAACAAATTAAATGTCACCTATTTCTTACTACTGAACTCAATTTTAACCATGTTATGAGCAAACAATCCTCGATAAGAAGAGAAATCAATCAGTCTTACATCATGTCTAAAAATAAATAAAGTTTACTTTTAATTTAATACAATATCTTTAGTTGTCATTATCTTACCAAAGTATCATTTTCATGAAATACATTATTTGGTATGTTCACAGTCAATGGATTTCTTGACCAATTTCTACAATTATTATTAGTAGTAGTAGTACTGCTACTACTACTAGTAGTAGTAGTAGTAGTAGTATTGTGTTGAATAGGCGGCAAATGATTTAAATGACCGGATTCATAATTTGAATGAGATAATGGAAGTAGATTATCAACACCACCATTGGAAGTAACAAAGATATTTGATAGTTGAGAATCTATAAATGTGTTATGATCTTTATTACTATTCATAATAAGATGATGTTGTTGACTTTGTTGACAAGGATAATGTTCATTCAAATCACTATTACAACATATTGGATGAAATGATGTTAAATAGCCTAACTTTAAATCATTTTTATTATATTTTATTAAATCTGTTGATGATATTCGATAATCAAGATGATTCATATTCTCTGTATGTTTATATGTTGATGTTGTTGTTGTTGTCATTATTGATGTTGTTGATGTTGTATAATTATGATTAATATCAACAATAGGATTAAGTAAATTTTTTAAATATGGTTTCTCATTACTATTTGAGTCTAGTCTTGATTGATTACGATGTTTTAACAGAATACATTTATTAGTACAACAAAAATATTTCTTATAGATATCTTGAAGAAAATTAACAATATTATATGTATGACGTAAATAAATGCATAAACCTAATATAATCATAATAAACACTAGTGTTGATATGATAATAATAAAGAGAATAAAACTAGATCCAATAAATCGTTCACTTTTGAATAATATTGAAGAAGTACTTTCCATGTATACTTCATTATTATGATTATGTTTTTCATTAGAAGATAAAATTTCATCTAATTGATAATTTCTATCTTTCATATCATATAATCTTTGATTATCAGAATGATCAATTAATAAACGTAATGATAATTGTGTTTCTAATGATGGTTCACCTTCATCACGTACAATTACATCGATTTGATATTCACCTAAATCATCTTTAGTTAAAATTCGACGGTTTTTAACATACCAGTAATTCGATCAATTGTAAATATATCATTACTTTTCATTATATTATTATTATTATTATTATTATTCATTAATTCAAAATGATATTTCCCATTAAGTTGATCAGTATCACGATCATTTGCATTAATACTAATTATTTCATAACCAGGATATACATGATATGATAAACGATGTATTGTAGAATTTGATGTGATTGGATTAGGAAATATTATCTCTGGTTTATTATCATTTAAATCGATAACATTGACGGTAACTGATAAAGAAGTTGTATAACCATGACGATGTAGATGATCTATTCTACTTTCAATTGGATAATAATTATTTTTTACTAATTCATTATCTGTAGCAATAATATTGAATTGAAAGGCTTCTTCTGTTTCACGATCTAATGGACGTGTTGTATTCAAGAAGTACTGTCCATTAGTATTTTCATGTAATATAAACGGTAAATCTCTTCTTCCATGCCCTGGATCAATACGAACATGTATTCCTTTGTTGTGTTGTTGTTGTTGTTGTTGTTGTTTTAAAGACTTTGGAATAGCTGATAATTTTGTTCCTAATAAATAATAAAATTGAGCAAGATGATCATCTTGTTTATCAAGTATCCCAGAACGATATAATTCATCAAGTTGTCCAAGAGAATATACATCAGGATCAATTACATAGATTTCACCAATTTTAGTACCAGCTGGTTGATTCTCTTCAATATTAAATATCGGTCCTGTACTCATAATTCTTGGAGGATTATCATTTTCATCGATAATAATTATCTGAAGTAAAATAAATGATGATAATTGATGTATATCTCCATGATCTACTGCTTTGATTAGAATAAAAACTTCATCAATTATTGAATAGTCTTCTTCACGATCAATTGATCGACGAGTTGTCAGATAACCATGTGTTGTATTCAACTGGAATAAGTTGAATGCTTCTTGTTTAGTATGTAATTCAATTAAATCATTATTATAAATAGTAATACTATTATTATGCTTGAGTAGAAGCTGTTGTAGTTCTGTAGAAGATCTTAATCTTGAAGAGATATTGGTAAATGTATAAGAGTGAAGCATTTCAAAAGTGACACGACCATTTTCACCAGAATCATAATCTGTAGCATTTATATAAGCCACTAATGTATTCGATGGTTTATTTTCACCTATATATACGCTATATACAGGAATATTAGCTAGAAAGGCTGAAAATATTGGTGAATTATAAACACTATGCTGATTCTCATCACTGGTATCGATTAAATGATTCAATTTCTTCATAGACCATGGCCGTACTGGTGTATACTGTGATAACTGATAAACCGGAGATTCATCTGGATAATTAGTACTCTTCAAATTAACTGTAGACACATGAATCTCTGGGATACAATCATTTTCATCATATATTTTCACCTGTAAAAGATAAAAATAAAATACGTACAGTTCAACTTGTGTTTTATATAGGATCAAGTAAAACATAAATTTAAACAAAATATGACTCATTACATACTATCCCGACGATCTCCATGATACTGGTGCACTGGATCACGTAACAAACTGTGAGCAGATGTGAAAAGATGGGCATACGGCGTATGAACGATGAAAAGACTCTAAAACATTTGGATTTCGCCCATCGTGATTTATGTCTAATGTCTTCTCGCACAAACTCGAAGATCTACACATATCGAAAACCAACAAGTTGACAGAAGAGAAGAGGCAGTGAAGGAAGACACCACCTCCTTCAGGTGAACATAGACAAGACAGACATGATGAAAATACCCAATCAACAACATCCAACAACAACAAAAACAACAAGCACTGATCACCATGAATGGGAGAAATCTAAAACAAGTTGTCTCTTTCACCTACACACTCACTCACCCACCCACCTACCTACCTACCTACCTACCTACCTACCTACCTACCTACCTACCTACCTACCTACCTACCTACGCTGCAGCGTTTCAACTACACGAGGCACATACACACACTCACGGTGATGAGGATGTCAAAGACAGGATCTGAAACACAGTAAGACAGACTTCCCTTCATCAATCTGGAATCAGTGTGGAGATCTACTCCACTCCACTCCACTCCACTCCACTCCACTCCACTCCACCACACTCCACTCAGCATAAAGTGTGAACAAAATACGGATTTACAATGCTAATCTCAGTCAACTAAGTCTCTGCTTCTATGTGATGACTGAGAGACTGGCCGCATCACGAATACCATTTTCAACAAACTACAGACATTCATCATCAACACCTGCTGCCCACACTCACTCGATACTGAAAATCACATCAGATCAGATGACCAGAATAATAAGAGTAGGCAAGAAGGAAGTGACTGTGGCTGGCTGGCTGGCTGGCTGGCTGGCTGGCTGGCTGGCTGGCTGGCTGGCAACGGACCAACTAACCAACCAACCATGAACCCATCGCCCAACAAATATGCAGACGAAGAAAGTGGAGATGGATTGGATTGGACATAGAGTGGAAAGACGGTTTGTGGACATCACGTGCCAGACGAGACCAGGCTAGGCTAGGCTAGGCCAGGCTAGGCCTAGTCCTCGAGTGGAACCCAAATGGGGAACGATGATTTGGGCGTATGACGCGAGGGCGACATCGAGGAGATTGTGTGAGGAAGAAAGTAAAGGTTGTGGATATTCGTGTAGCCAGGTTAGGAAGACTAGAGAGAAGAGAGTGAATTAGTGACTTGCTACTGAAGCCATATATTCCACTACGAACGCAAGGGACAAACAATATTGCCTAATGTTCATCGGTTTAGGAGTTATTCAACAAGATGCTCTAGGGTATAATTGATCCCTGTACCGAACTAACTAAATTAATCTCACAAGAGTTTCTCATAACTGTGTAAAAAGAAAAGAAAGCTGTGAAATTCAGCCAAGTATATTTTTGTTGATAAGTGCATTTATTTGTTATTTGCTATATACTCCTAATTTTTCATAACTTTTTTCTGTTTGCTTATAACTTTAAAATAACGTATCATTGCTGTTTTCACATCGCTGCTAGTTTTTCTTCCCTCCCCTCTCATCTGTTGTTAACTATTTTAACCTATATGTGGATTTAGTGTTGTCAAGGTCATCTACAAATGTTTATATTCACCATTGCTGTCAGCTGTTTTGACTGTGATGAGTACTTGATATTGCAATCTAAAAAATTACACGAATTTTCAGGAAAAATGACTGCTAGTAAAAGGTTTACCAACTATTTGTCGTCTAATAAGAATTCAGTGTATGCAAGTCATATATGCTTGCATTCTGACTGCTCTCAATCATTGATTGTCTCAGTCTTCAAGAAAGGCAAGAAGTTCTCTTATGATAACCACAGAGGAATCAACCTGACAAACATAGTGTCGAAGATCCTAGGCTTTATTGTCATTATGTCTGATTGGGGACTTCGGAACAGCAAACGCAGAAAAACTATGCAGCTCTCAGACCTGGTCATCGGTGTATAGACCAGAAAATTCAACTCCATCAAGTTCTGGAACACAGATACACTTGCCGATACTTAACACTAACTGTATTTTACTATTTGACGACAAAATTCGTCTCCATTGGTCAAGAGGTCTTACGGCACTGTCTTTCACTAAGTGTATCACTCCGTTAAAGGCTCCGTACTCGAACAGCCATGATCAAGTTAGAGTCTATGACGAGTTGTCGGTGAGCTGTGTACATCAAAGAAATGTTTGCTAAGGATGCCCATTCTCTCCATTGTTATTCAATTTTATCATAGACGTACTTATGGAGGTCTCTCTCTCGTCATATGACATCACAGGGATTGATTTCATCATAGGAGAATCCTTCATAAGTCTAGAATACGCAGATGACATAGTCCTCTTAGGTGAAAACGCTGACAAAATGCAGAGTCTTCTGGACATCTTGAATGGCAAGCTGAGAATGTTTGGAATGCGTTTCTCGCCACCCAAATGCAGACTGTTGCTCCGGAACTGCGCTTCAGTGGCACCCCTGTAAACAATAGAGTGAAGTGGTGCAGCACGTTGACTACTTCACTTACCTGGGAATTCAGATTAGCTCTGGTGCGTTGGTCAGTAACATGCAAAAGGTTCGACTGGATTTTGCCAACTTACAGCACTTATGGTACCACCCTGACATTCAATTGCCTATTGAGAGTCCAGTGTACTCTGCTGCAGTTCGCTCTGTAGGACTGTAAGGCTATGAAGGAAGGTCACTAAACATACAGGATATGAGAAGGCTTCTTGTGTTTGACCACTGTTGTCTACACAGTATAGACCATGTCGTTGTGCCAACATGTGAGTAATTTAGAAGTCATCTGTAGAGTTTTATGGAGGAGAGAAAAGTCAACTGATAACGTTGTGAACCTTCATCGGTTAATATGACTAGGAAATATGTTACAACATATGTCTAGCAACTGTCTTAATCAGATGGAAAAAGGCTCCGAGCCGTCAGACTAAAACATGGCATCACTGCATGAAGTTTTTAGTTGTTCGTCCAGGTTGTCTAGGCAGATACAGACTAGTCGATTGTGGTCCGCTTGACAACAGAAAGCATTGGTTTAAAATTCTAGTTTAGAGAATGTTGGTGATGTGGCTCAGAATCGATGTCGGTAGCACAGATGCATCCACACGTATTATGTTCATCTTATTCGCTATGCTGAATTCACCATTTTCCCACTCGTTTTTCTTCTCTTTCATTACGTTCTATTGCTTTTGACCTACATTTCTTCGCTTTCTCCATCTCTCAGCCTACTGTTTGGTTAATTGTTGTGGAGATATAAGATGTGGCAATTTGGACCGTTGTGCTGTAACTCCTGGTCCTATGTTGATATTGATTGACTGAATCACTCGGGTTGGAATCCTATCGTCCACACCTACCGACTCCACTTAATTCGCTGAATGGTGTGACTACCATTCAATATCATTGACGCCTATCTCTATCCTGACATTTGAGTGATGCTGCAATAAGTCAAAACCTTACAAGTGAATAAAAACTTGAATAAACTAAATCAGGTTGAAAAACACTATCACTGCAAAAATCGTTTCATTCAAACCAATCACAAGTGTTCACTGGTTTGTAACCATGACCACTTCTTAAACTGAACCAAGGGAACCAATGAAAGTCTTTGGAGGAAAAGGTGATATTTAGTCATTGTTACATTGCTACTGTAACCTCACTACTATGAAGTATGATTGTGCCCTTTATCTTAACTAAGTCAACTTCATACAACATTACACCCTTTGAGTTGTCAGTGTCATTTATCAAACTAGTCAGAGGTGACGAGTCCCAAATAGGAGAAAGCGCGCAACTTGGATTTCTCTGCTAGTCAAAAAGATCAATAAAACATCATGAATATCCGACAATATCGAGACATCCGCATAGAAGCCTATATACCAACAATAGAAGTCGAGCAATTCGGCCCTGTATAGCAACCGGGAATTACAAACATCATTACAATAATTAACATCCATTGCACAAGAGGTGGTTATCGTTCCTCAGTGGCTTAGTGGACAACGCTGTGGAGTCTAAAACGAAGGGTGTTGTGTTCGAGCCTCAGTGGGAACAATACTCCGCGCTGGGGTGCAGGTACATCCAGCTGACGAGTCCCAAGTAGGACGAAAGCCACGTCCTGGATTCCTCGGCTAGTCACCAAGATCACTATAGATCAATCAGAACACACTTACCTCCATCTGAATCTGTACACAAAAGATGTTATCGGGAAGTTTATCTGTGTCTGACTGGCAAATGTAAACATGAAGCCTTTATTTAGACAAGCAGCGATTCTCATCGTGATCATAGCATGGCCTTATATTTAGTTTGCCGTAGAAATAACGATGAAGACAGTTAGCGATCTAGAAGAAAGGGTAGAAAAATCTAGTAGCTTCCCTGCTATCTCATGCAGACTAGTTGTTGTGAGGAAAATCATTCCTTCCGACTTCGAATACAATAAGGAATGAAAACGTAAACATTAATTGACTTACCAGTGATGGATATTTGCTAGCAGTGGAATCCATGATGCATGATTCGTCCTATTTGTGATTCATCAGCTGATGTACCTGCCTCACAGTGAGCGAAGTTGTTTTCACTAGGACTCACCTCACTGGAGTACAGGTACATTCAGCTGACGAATCTGAAATAGGACGAAACCCGCATACTGAATTTCTCTACTAGCCATCAAGATCAATATAGTCAGAGTATCAGTTTTTAAGCATAACTAGTATATTGATTATAAATAATATTATAAAATTCAATTATGAACTTACTATAGCTGTAGCAGTCGATGTTTTCGGTGGTACATCAGAATCTATACAAGTAATTATAATTCTATTCTCATCACCTAATTCACGATCTAATGACTTCACTGTTCGTAATGCATATCTCACTTCATTAACTCTAACAGATTCATAATTGTCTGATTCAATTAAACTATAATATTCTTTATATGTCTCTAATTTACATGAAATAATTGAAGTTCTTGATAAGAAATTATTCATGAAAGATGATGAAGGATATTCACTATTATCATTATTATTATTATTATTATTATTATTATCTGGATCTGTTGCTATGATAAATGCAATGAAATATAAATCCATCGAATTTTCTGTAACACGTTTAAATTGTTCATTATTTTCATTGGTATAATCAATTTGAATGAATGGAGGCTCATCGTATTCATTAACCACCTAAAGAATAGAAAAATAAATTAGATAAATTAAATATGTAGATATCAAGTGAATTATTAAGGTATTTTTGAATAAAAAGTTAAGATAACTCTTATAGCAAGTGGATATCTACTATTCAATAAAGTAGTGAGTAATGTAGAAGTTAGGTATAGAGTTTTAGGAAACAGATATAAGTTAATTGATGTGGTTATGAGCCTTCCATCAACTCAGATCGATGAGATATGCGTTGTATATGCCTAGTCAGCGTCTACCTCATCCCATAATATTAGCTGAAGTAGGTTCAGGTTAGAAAAAGGCTTCAGATAACCACAATAGAACATGACATCATTGCAGGGAGCCAGTCTGAGCCCTCTAGGGAGATTTACACTAGCTGGTTAGGCCCTAGATGACATGGCTGAGAATCGATGTCAGTGACGCAGATATATATCCACATATACAATATCTTCATCTCAATCGCTATACAGGATTCAGCATTTTCTCACTATTCCCCCTCCTTCTCCTTCCTCTTTTTTTACTACTTTGTAATGCTTTTGACTGGTTTTACTTCTTTTCTTCACCTTACATTTTAGTGTGCCCTGTTACTTGACGCGCTGATATGAGGTGTAGTAAATTGTATCATTACGCAGTAATGAAATAAAGTAGTGAACCTGCTTTTTGAAGATATTCCAAAATTACTTAGGATATATATTAATGAATATATGAGCAAATGAATCAGAAGATACCTTGATTTCATAGAAAGTATATCAACACTTAAACGACTGAATCCAATTTTTCCATCATCTACCCATTTAAATCAACATAGGACCGGGCATTACTGCGTAACGTTCCGAGTTACCACTGCTCATATCAGTATATCAAGTTAAAAGGCAGTGAAGTGAAAGATGAAGATAAGAAAATGCAGTCAAAAGAAGTTCAAAATACGAGAAGAGAGAAAGGAAGAATGAGAAAATGGTGAGATTCAGTATAACGTCGTTAAGATGAGGATAATGTATGTATACATCTGTGACACTGACATCGGTTGAGTCATATCACCTAGAGTCAGTCACCAACCACTTGTTCCTCTTGTCCCGCCAACCCCAACCACCTAGTCTACATCACCCCACATGGCTCAAACCAACAGTCAGATACTTCATACATTGACGCCATGTTTCAGTCTGACTGCATCGAGTTCTTTCCCAGACTGAACTTACTTCGGTCAACATTGTGTGACGAGGTAGACGGTGACTAGGCATACGTAACACGTGTCCCAACCATGTCAGTCGATGAAGGTTCATAACCTCATCAACTGGCTAACCTCATCTCTCTAAAACTCTACGCTCGATGTTTGCCGTTTTTTAGCCTCAGCTAAGTGGTATGTCGCAAATTAATGCTCAGTGAGATTCTTGGAAAACTTTCATTTAGTACTTGCCTCCCAGTAGAAACCAAAATTCCGAATTCGAAGAGTCTATAACCGCAGTAGCTCTCGAAGTGGTCACTGGCTTCAAGTTCACATATTATTAAGTTTAGAAATGCTATAAAACAAGGGTTGGTTAGGTGCTTATTCACTAGAATTCCATGAATATGCACAGAGGATACTTTTGAAGACGAAAAAGGAACACTGACTGAAATACTGTTGGAAAATAACTATCCATCGAAATTTACTAGGCAGAACAAAATAATCACAACGCCAAAACCAGTCCTTCAGGTTGTCCCAAAGAAGGATATCTTCATCAGTCTTCTGTACAAAGGTGACTCTCATAGTGCAACCAATAAGCAGAGACGTAACGCTGCCGATAGAGGTCGATTAACAGAAACCACCATGCCCGTATATTCCCCCAAACTCCTACACCATTTGAACAACAATATCATATCCTATCTTATCTACCAATTCAAATGTACGTGTGGTGATACATACATAGAGAGGACTCATAGATCCATGCAAGTAAGGGTCTTGGAACATATTCCAAAGTGACTTCAAAAGCAAATTAAATCACCTGAACTCATAAACGTTGGTATTAGACGTCCAAGTTCTTCGGTCGCCAAACATATCGTTGAGACAGGTCACAAGATTGACGTGGCTACTTCCTTTACACCTATCTACAAAACGTGTTGGAGACGGATCCTTAAATTTGTTGGGGCCTTAGTTATTAGGAAGTTCAAATTACCATTTGTATGTTCACTAACCATTTTCTATCACATTATATCTCCCTTGGTGAATTCCACTCTGAAACCAAGTTCGATGTACTATTATTTTTTCGCTCTATTGATTTCCATTGTTATTCTGCCTTTAATTCAGCCTTCCTAATGACCTCTTTTCATATTCTGATCCCTTATCTCCATGACTTTTCATATAAATACCTATGACAAGTACATGTGTGATCAGATAGTTCAAAAAGTGTTGCCTTCTTGTTGTTTTGTCGAAAACCAAGGTAATGATGGATAGTGGCTAGCAGTGGAATTCAAGATGCGCATTTCGCCCTATTTGGGACTCGTCAGCTGTATGTACCTGCCTATCAGTCGGTGTTCCCACCGGGGTTCGAACTCGGGACCGATCGCTCCAAACGCTAGAGCTTTGTCCACTAGATCACTGATAGCCACTTCTTGTGTGACGGGCATAGTTTTAGTATTTTTGCTTGTATTCTTGTTAACAAGATGCAAATGAAACCTCATATGGTAAATGTCCCTTCAGTGATTCAAGCCTATATCAACCCCGTGCTGAAGTCATATACGTAACCATTAAATTATTTGAGAAGTACCACTGGGTATTTAACCTCCTAACTGTTCATTCGTCTATTTCTTTTCATGAGCAAAACTAACTAATCATATAATTGGTTAATCAAATTACTATTTTACGTAAAGTGAAGTTTCTGATGACAGGGGGAATAACCTTATTGACATTGTACTACAATCACATTAACGATACTAAAGACTTTTATTGTTTTCAAGTTGATATTCATCATGGAATAACATCAGCTGGAGGAACACTGAAAACCTGGGAGCACTGGAAAAGCTGTTCCATCCTAGTATGGGACTCCTTAGCAGTGCTTACCCATGACCTCGCCCTCCATGAGTCGAATCGAGGACTTTCAGGTTACTATTGAGCCACTGGATCGGTATCCAATGGTCCATATTTCCTCATTCTGTCAGTTCACGATATATCGTGACCTCCATCGAATGCGATCGTTGAGTAACTGTCCTCACTTCTACTTTATTTCTTCTCTACACTGTGGTAAATTGTTTATAGATGGAGACGCAATGTTTCAGTAGATGAGATGTTTGTTCGACTTTCAATCAAATTGCTTTAGAATCTCACATAGATAGGTGTTTTCCGCGTTTTGAATAGGTACTTACTTCATTAGGTCACCCAATAGTATTCTTCTGTACCTTTTTATCTAGCGAAACCACTAACTGGCCAAAACTAATGGAGGATTTTCTTTCTTAGCGAACAACAACCCAAATTAACACTGTTGCCATTAACAAACAGTACTCCGATACATATTGTAGGTATTCGTTGTGTTATGTTCTCTTAGTTGGGCGGCTCAATCGATTAAACAATTAATCCACCCAACTCAGAGAACATAACCAAGATCATCCACCTGAGGTACAAATATTCTCCACTATATTGTAAGTTGATCACCGGTGGTGATCTGAATTTGATTTTTACTGAGCTAAACAAATTGTAACTCATACAGCAAAAACAGACTTCATTTTTAACTAATGATACAGTGAACTTCATTCAGGTGCATAATACTAACTTAAACTTCTTCCTATTAATAGATTACAACACAACATGACAAGTGTGTAATTCATGTGGACTCATTTCCCAACTTGCAATCTGTTAAAGACATAACAACCAGGTTATAAGAACGAAACTTGGTTCAAAAGATAACGAGTTAGTAAGTGAAGATAGATAAATTCCCAATCAAAGGATAGATCTGAATAGCGATACAAATATTGTGTCAATATAGACTAACTGGGAGATTCACTACATCTTTTAGGCACCCCCCCCCCTGTGATTCTCTTAATTCACCGACTGGTTGCTTACACAAACAGTATGAGAACAGAGTAAAGCTTAATTCTTTCAACTATTAATGATGATCAGATATTAACCATGAATGGTAGTTTGCAGTGGAATCCAGGCTTCCGTGTTCCGTCCTATTTGACACTCATCAGCTGGATGAACTCACCTCCTAATGAGGGGTATTGTTCCCTCCTTAGGGAGAATCCAGAACCAATCACTTCAAGTCCCAGGTCACTGAGTGATGAGAGCCATTCCTTGTGCAACAGGTATATCATAGTTTGTATTCTATTGCTTAGAAGTCTCCGTACTTGTTTGTACCAAACTGACTGGCCACTATTGGTATTAAGGGCTCTTGTGCGGAGTCTAATCAACAACGGAGACTTACAAGTTATGTAAGTCAACCTTTCAGGTTTCCTTTAGACTTATGACTCTGAGATCGACTCCCTGACCCATTGGGGATACTTCCTCAGTTAATTTACAATGTTTAACTCAAGTAGACCAACTTCTACGAATTACGAACTTTCACTCAGACTTCATTTGAATTCAGGAGTGTAAAAGTCTTAATCAAGAATTGAGTTATCATTTGAAAAGAAATTAAGTCACTGATTCCTCTGGAATCAGATTCAATTGAAGTATTTCGTTGTTTTCTTCCAATATAAACGTAAGAGTGTACAACTTGGGCATTGTGGAAGAGTAATACTTATCTCCCGGTATCCTGAATGTTCCTATGTAAATTGAATATCTCATAACTGACATTAGTGACCATTATTTCGTCTAAATAGTCTGTTGAATAAGTAATTTTGAGTGTAATCCTAATTAATCTCTTCATTGGACCGAATTCAGTCCAATCAACGATGGAATAACAGAAGTGAAAACAATAAAACTACACAAATCCCATGAGAAGTGGCCATTGATACTCAGTGGTTTAGTGGATAATTCTGTGACTTTGAAGCTGTCGGTCCCGGGTTCGAGACCCAGTGGGAACAACACTGCTAACTGGGTGATAGGTACCTCTAGCTAAGTAGTCCCAAAACGAACGAAACGCGTAACCTACATTTCAAGACAGGCAGCTAGCCATCATTAATATATAATCTCTTCACTTATTTTAATATTTTCTGTATTTATTTTCAGGAAATAACTGCCATTGGTATCAGTCGCACCACATAAAGCTTACACTGGCAACATGCCGTTGTTTGTTTGAAAGAGTACACAGTAAATAATGTATCACTGTGTACTGTGCTAGTAAATAAATCATATGTACAGAATTCTTTCAACGTTCTCTAGTAAAATCATGCAAATTTTTCAAGTTGGTATTCATCATGGGCTGACATCAACTGGAGGAACATTAGAAACCAGGGAGCAGTGGACAACTGTATCGTCCCCAGTGTCCACCCATGACAGCAACCCCTAAAGGTCGAACCCCGGGACCATCATCTTAAGTGGCGAACACGTTTCCATTGAGCTAGCCACAGGGTTGGAATCCAATCGTTCATATTTCCCAGCTCTGTCAGTTCATAACATAGCGCGATCATCACCCAATGTCATCGATGAGTATTTGTCATAGGGATCACAAAGTTAAATGATAATAAGATTCAATCTATCAGTGAACATCTGAACACCTACACAGCAGTCCGCTCTCTTCTTCTCTCTGGCGGTGAAACATGACCATTCAAAGTGGAAGAAATGAGACGGCTGGCTTCAAGTGTTTGACCACCGTTGCCTTCGTAGTATAGGCTGCATTCACTGGTGTCACCACGTGAGTAACGCAGAAGTTAGGTGCAGAGTTATAGAGAGAAGAGGTTAGTCAGTTGATGAGGTTGTGAACCTTCATCGACTGACATGGTTGGGACACGTGTTACGTATGCCTAGTCACCGTCTACCTCGTCACACAATGTTGACCGAAGTAAGTTCAGTCTGGGAAAGAACTCGATGCAGTCAGACTGAAACATGGCGTCAATGTATGAAGTATCTGACTGTTGGTTTGAGCCATGTGGGGTGATGTAGACTAGGTGGTTGGGGTTGGCGGGACAAGAGGAACAAGTGGTTGGTGACTGACTCTAGGTGATATGACTCAACCGATGTCAGTGTCACAGATGTATACATACATTATCCTCATCTTAACGACGTTATACTGAATCTCACCATTTTCTCATTCTTCCTTTCTCTCTTCTCGTATTTTGAACTTCTTTTGACTGCATTTTCTTATCTTCATCTTTCACTTCACTGCCTTTTAACTTGATATACTGATATGAGCAGTGGTAACTCGGAACGTTACGCAGTAATGCCCGGTCCTATGTTGATATTGATGATGATGACAAAAGGAGAAGTAGTTGTGAACGCAATAAAGTTACTGAAAGCCGGGCAATTAGCAGTACCAAATGGAATTTCACCAAAAGCAACTGAAAACAGACGCACAGACACCAGCCGACCTGCTGACACCACCGTTACTGAAGGTTTGGAAGGAAGGAAAGGTACCTGCCCATTGATTGGAACAAGGGATACATTGTCAAACTACCAAACAACACTGACCTAAGTCTTTACAAGAACAACAACTGGCGCAGAATCATGCTCCTGTCCACACCAAGCAAAATATTAGGCCACATCATCCTTGAGAGACTAAACGATGCTCTCCATTCAAAATTACCACCACAATACGCTGACTGACTGCATTCAGCAAGTACAAATCATGTGTGCATCAAATTCAAACACTACACTACACTACACTACACTACACTACACTACACTACACTACACTACGCATCATCATACAACAGAGTATAGAATGACAGTCCACTACTACTCCTCTACCTGTACCTCAACTTCATCGAATTTGAAAACGCCTTCCTTCAATAGCCTCGACCGAGAAGTAGTTTGAAAGGCAGCTGCTTCAACACTACAATGGTTTTAGTGTCACAAACCCCCTATCAAACTCATTAAACAGCAGTTATATCCTGCATGATGCTACATGCCAGCCAAGTGATGATTCAAAATGAAAAGCTCAGTGATGCCTTCGAAGCGAAGTCAAGTGAAGTGAAGTGAAGTGAAGAGGGGAGTAATTCAGTGTAGCCACCTACTATTACACATCATCTTCCTGACTGTGGTCAACTCGACTCGACTCAACTCAACTCGATTAGACTAGACTAGACTGGAGTGGAGTGGATCATGCAACAGACAACTGTGACGAGCAGTGAGAAGAGATGGGCATACGCTGCTGGATGGACCGATGTGATGAAAAGACCCCAGAAGAGTTGGATTCCTCCCATGGTGATTTATCTCAAATGTCTTCTCACACAAACTCGAAGATCTACAGATCTCGAAAACCAACAAGTTGACAGAAGGGATGAGACAACGAGGGAAGACGGTATTTGCTCCAATTGAATGTAGAGAAGAGAGACATGATGAAGATACCCAACCAACAACAACAACAACCAACAATAACAAGCACCAACCACCATCAGTGGGAGAAATCTAAAACAAGTTGTCTCTTTCACCTACACACTCACCCACCCACCCAATTACCTAGACAGCACTGTCTCAACTGCAGGTGGCGGCGGCGACACAGATTAGGATGTGAAAGCCAGGATAGGAGAGACAGTAAGACAACCCTCACTTCATCAATCTGGAATCAGTATGGAGATCTACTCTACTCCAACCCACTCAGCATAAAGTGGGAACAAAATCCCGATTTACAATGCTAATCTCAGTCAACTAAGTCTCTGCTTCTATGTGATGACTGAGAGACTGGCCACATCACAAAAACCATTTTCAAACAAACTACAGACATACATCATCAACACCTGCTGCCTACACTCACTCGATACTGAAGATCACATTAGATCAGATGGCCAGAACAATAAGAATAAACAGCAAGGAATGATGAACTTTGGCTGACTGGCTAGCTGGTTGGCAACTAACCAACCAACGATGAACGCATCGCCCAACAAATATGCACAAGAAGGTGGAGATGGATTGGACACAGACTGAGAAGACAGTTTGGGGATATCACGCACCAGATGAGGCTAGGCCAGGCCAAGTCCTCGAGTGGAACTCAAATGGGAAACGACGAGTTGGGTGTTTGAGGCAAGTATGACATGGAGGAGATAGTGTGAGGAAGAAATGAAACCCTGTGAGCAGTTGTGGAATGAGGTTGAAAAGACTAGAGAGAACAGAGTGAAATGGCCACTTGCTACTGAAGCCATATATTCCACTAGGAACCCAAGGGACAAATAATAATAATGTATATTCTTGAATAACATTACAATACTAACCTTGACAATAATTTTAGCTGTTGCTGTCATTGATGAATGACTTATTTCTGATGGAATATGATGATTTGTCACTAATGGATTATAAGCTAATACTTCAAAGATATGCTGTGATTTTGTTTCATAATCCAATGGTCGATGAATTGTTAATTGTCCAGTTGAACTGTTTAAATGGAACCAATAATCTGGTGAATAATGATCAAAATTTTTCACTTCTTTATTCATATAATGTAATGATGATGATGATGATGAAGTAATCCATTCAGATCCTTTTGTAAATTTATAATTTATAACAGCATTTTCATTTATATCATTATCTGTAGCATTTAATTGTAAAATAGTTTTATTTACACTTCCTTCATTAATGTATATTTCATAAATAGATTGATTAAATACTGGAGGATGATCATTAATGTCTAATACATGAATAATTAAATACATTGAACCAGTTTGTTTTGGTTGACCGCCATCAATTGCTAAAATTTTAAATTTATATTCATCTTTCTCTTCACGATTCAATGGTTTCAATAGAATTAGTTCAAGTTTTGTAATATAACTTTCTACACGTGAATTTATTGTTGATGATGATGATAATGGATCAATTGAATGTAGAAATAAATAATTTGGATGACTAGTTATATAATTTTGTGTATAATTCAATTGAAAAATTGTTATATCATATTTATTTATAAGTGAATGATTAAAATATTCTAATTCATAACGTTGTACATTGAATGGTGATGAATCAAAATCTTCAGCTAATGGTAAAACTATCCGACTTCCAATTGGAGAAGCTTCTGATAAATTTTTTACAATAATAACCGGTTGTTCAATATGAGATTCTGTAAGATAAATTTGTCCTGATGGAAATTTCAAATGATCTTTAGGAGGCTAGAATATTGTTCGTTATTTGTTTGTTTTTGTTTTTTTTTGATGAGAAAAATATAAATAAAATAACCGCTTGTAAGATAAGATAACAGAAATAAACAGTTACGATTAAAGCCGTGTGAAAAATAACAAAACAACAGTAATAAAAGAAATCGTGATTGAAGGGAATGTAATAGGGAGGTTCATTATTCGTATTCTTAAGACGTTGAATATCTATGAAACTTAGGAATTCATGACGCCAAGGACTACCATTTCGTCAGTTTGATAAGCATTTCATAACTGCTATAACCTTGATAAGGTCTAGAAGGCTGCGCCACTGACAGATGTATACATACATTATCCTCATCTTAACGACGTTATACTGAATCTCACCATTTTCTCATTCTTCCTTTCTCTCTTCTCGTATTTTGTACTTCTTTTGACTGAGTTTTCTTATCCTCATCTTTCACTTCACTGCCTTTTAACTTGATATACTGATATGAGCAGTGGCAAGTCGGACCGTTATGCAGTAATGCCTGGTCCTAGGTTGATCTGGATGGATGAAGAAGGTTGATATCAATGTTCCATTCACAATACAACTAAGCGATATAAAACTTTGAAATAACTGATTGATTGTAGGAATATTCTTAAAAGTCTTCATCTTCAAGTACTTGTGTCATTTCCAGTTGCCATCCTATTTTCAGCCCTTATGTTCTCTATTGAAGTCTATATAAAAGCAGATGATGAACTTTTCCAGCTTCCCTTTCATCATGCCCCCCCCCCCTCAAAAAAAACTAAGTATAGTCACTGGTATATGTTTTTCACACATCAGGAGCATGGATCGAATCCGGTGCCCACATTACTTGAAAGTTGAGTACTCAAATCAATGACCTAGTGCTCTACTGTGAAGTTTAAGTGAATTCGTTTCTAAGCTGACTTCACTATTCATTTTCATTCACATCAGTTCAAAACGCTCTTCAAGCAGTACTAAGTTGAAATGAGATCATAACTTCTACTCATCTTCAGCTTCGCATCTCTGACTGTGTTGTTTGATGTTTCCGGATAATCGACTAAATATGATAAAAATTGTTTTCATGCCCAAGAAAGTGATTGTTCAGTTCCACATGAAATATGACGCTGACCTATTCATCTTCGTACCGAACGAAGAAAACTACTTCTAACGCATACTTTTTGTGATCCTTTAACTGAATACCCGCATATGCCACCTAATATGTGATCAAAATATAAGGAGGTACTTCGCGAATTGTGACGATTCCCCCCCCCCCCATCCATTGCACGTATTGCCGGTTCTATGTTCATTTCGATTAAATCAGATACTCTTTGCCTCTAATGTTTAATGTCATAGATAAGAAGTTACTTTTGTAATCGATTCTTTGTGTCGGACTTCAGAAGAATGCAAGAGGCCTTTCCATTTAGCATAGTGCTCTAACCACTATTATTATCATCAGGTAATTTGACTCCATTTACAAGGAAACTTGATATCCTCCTACGAGTGAACTTATTAGTAACTATATACTTCCCACGTCTTCGACTATACTCCTAAAACACGAATAAAAACCATTTGTGACTCCTCAGTTGCGCACAACTGCCGCCCCCAGTGAGTGAGTGATGTTGTTCCCTGTAATACTCCAACCCAGAACGTCTCTTCAAACGCTTAAGCGTCATCCACAAATTCACAGAGTCATGATAACCACTCTTTGTACAACAAGTACTGGATACCACTCTTCTAGCCATTACCAATCATTCTTATTAAACTTAAAAATCATAGCCAATATCAAAGCACCACGGTAGGAGGCCATACGTCAATACAGACAGATCAATTCGATCCAATCAACTATGGGAAATTATTTTTTTAAAGATTTTCTATTAAAAGAATAATATCATCCAAGAGAAATCACTATGGAGTTATACAGAGTTGTGTCATTTTCAACCCGTGATCAAATGAGGAGCTGCTAAGTATTTTCTTTTGTTTTATATTCCTTCACCAATAATTTGTCTTTTCAAAATGAATCCCGTTTCTACAATGTAGAGAGAGATCTTGGACAGAGAAAACACAAAAAATATCAGAGAATTCCTAGAAGCTTGGCATTCAGGTCAGTCAATCAGCAATCAATAAGTGTATGGACCCTGGGAGTACTGGATAGCTGTCTCGTCCTAGTATGGGACTCCTCAACAGTGCTCACCCACGAACCCGCGACCTTCAGGTTACCATTGAGCCACTGGGTCAAAATCCAATGGTCTATATTTCTAATTTCTGCTAGTTCACGACATAGCGCACCGCTGAGGAGTCCTAAACTAGGATGAAACAGCTGTCCAGTGCTCCTTTGTTCCTCCAACTGATGCCAGTCTACGATGAATAACAACTTGAAATATTTCCAAATCCCCACAACTCCCTTAAAAATTTATTTTAATAATCAATAAGAAATAAAAACATTTTTACATGATTTTACTTACTTTAAACTGTGGTACATGATCATTTTCATCACAAATTATAATTGGTATATGATGTGTATCAGGAACATCTGCTGGAGATGTACTAATTGATATAGTTAAGTTAAATGTACACATTGGAGTGTTTAAAGCTTGAATAGAGCATACATTTGGAGAGTAGGATGATGTATGTAAACTATTACCAGATGGATGTAACTGAGGAATAAATGAATAATCCATAGAGTTGACACCAGTTGTACTACTACTACTGCTAGTACTACTAGTAGTAGTAGCAGTTGTAGTTATTGTTGTTACAGATCCTTCAGATGGACAACACAATCTAGACTCCAAACATAATTTATCACGATCAATTGTACGTGATGTAATCAACTGATAATTTTCACTTAAATTAAAGTATTCACGTGCTTTAGACAATTGTAATGATAATTTATAACCTGAATGAATATGATTCAACAGAAAATCTTTGGATACAATCTCTCCTCCACGTGTATTATCTCTTAATACAATAGGATTAAATGATGCTGTACAAGTAATGAAGCATAAAATGTATACCAACCAATCTGTATAAAGTAATTTCATGTTAAAGTGTAATTCAGATGAAATTGAAAACATTTTCTCCTGTAATTTATTTCATTTGTAGTCAGAATGGAATTTGTTTACAGTAGAAAATTGTCAGCATTGTAGCAGTATATCCAGAGATAGGCTTCGAGCTCGAAGTTATCCTAAATGGTTTCTTTCTAGAAAAGAAAAAAATTTGTCAAAATGCTTTCATGTTAAATAAGATTTAATGAATAAATTTGATCCAACTATTTGAGCGATGGCATACTTATACTCTGGTATACAGTACTGATCAAAACTACTGATTATCCTATATATTGTATAATAGTTTATTAGATAAGCTAGAATTTGTCACTCTTCGGGCTATCCTATTGGTCAACTTCATTACTCACAAATATGGCTAGAATAATGCTTTAATAAAACGTAAGCAACTACAATAGGAATCAAACAACTTTGAAGAAACGACTCATTGTCATCGTTCCAATTGAACTTCGTTATAAATGTTTTAACGAACATAACCGTAAGCACCCCTGAATTCATGGCTATTGGCCCTAAAGAGCATCTGAACTACGGAGAAGACATTTTTGCATTCAGCAAACACACTGACAAAATGCAGAGTTTTCTAAACGTACTGAGCAGAAATTTGAGTATGTTTGGCATGTTTTTTGCCCATCAGATGTAAGATGATGTTTCACAATTGACCAGCATCAACTCCTGGTCTAAGGATCAACAGTAACGTGGTAGAATCCCAATTACTGTCTCACTTACTTAGGAATTTACATCAACTTGAACAGGTTGATTACTGACAAAATCTTAGCTTGAATATAAAAAAGACCCACTCAGTATTTACCAATATGTATCATCTCTGGCACCGACCAGATATACGACTACCTATTAAAGGACGAGTACACTACTCTGCAGTTCGCTCTTCTCTATAATAAACGACTATGAGACGACTAATGAAAATGCAAGAAAAGAGATCCTATGTTTTTGAACGAAGATATCTCTTTAGCATTGCTTACGTATAGCGGAATCACGGTGTAAGCACTGTCAAGGCTAGGCAAAACACACAGGCTGTGAGCCTTAAATCTTCCCCGACTGAGGTTGACTTGGCATGTGCAACACGTGTTTAAGTCATAAACTACCACAATGTACAATATTAATCGAAGAATAGGACCAAGTTGTGTTACCAGTCGATGAAGTCTTTGACTGTTAAGTCTGAGCCCGGTGTAAGTAGGTGTAGACTGCCAACTTAGAGGTTCTCGAGATAATTTGAATCAATGATTGATAACTCTTGGTAACATGATTGAAAAATCAGTTACAATAACGAAGGTTTATACGTTTTTCGACATCTTTCTGAATTCCACTGCTAGTCATCAAATAGACTACAAACAATCTACTTATCGAAAATAGCAGATCTTCGATTCTTCAAACAAAAAAAACACCTCGTAAATGCTTTATTCTACAAATTCAAGTCTTCAGATAACTGTAAAACCTTCAAGATACAGAAAATTTACCCAAAGTAGTTAATAATAAACTTAACAACTGATAACGATGAAGCAGGAACTTCAAATTTGAAAGCTGCACTAGAATAGGGAAGAAATATGAAGACTTTCACAATACCAAAAATATCATAGCTCCGTTAAAAAACACATTCACATAAATACATCAAAACAAACTAAGAAACAAAGGTCATCGTAAATCTTTCATCAACAAGGAAGAAAAACTTTCAAGTTTGATCTATATTTCCAACTCCTATCAATTCACAACATGGTTATGAGGACAAATTCCCAACTATGATATTAGGTGATAGTTACGCTATGTCGTGAACTGATAGAAGTGGGAAATGTGGATCACTGGTTTTCAACCTAGTGACTTAATGATAACATGCTGACCATGGAACCTAAAGGTTCCGGGTTCGATCCCTAGTGGGGCTCAGTGCGTACTGCTGAGGAGTTCTACACTAGTTGGACAAGACAGCTGTTCAGTGCTTTCAGATTTCCAATGTTCCTCCAATTGATATCAATCCATGAAGAATACCAAGTTGAAAAATCTCTTAAACTCAATCTCCAAATTCAAAGGAAGAAAATATGTAAATAAATTCAATCATATCTTGATCTAATTCCAGATAAACTGTCAACAATGAACTCTCTTAGACATAAATTATGTATATAAGCACCTCAAATTTGACCCAATAACATGATAGGTACAAAAGTTAAACAAAACATTTCAAGGTCATATAAGTGACCTTTAAGCATACACTTAATTTTTACGACACAATAACACTCCTATTGTATGTACTGATTTAGTATGCTTATAGACATTTTCTGGGAAGCAAATATAAAACAAATTAAAAACAACCGATATTTTAAGTCTTATCAATTATAACAATCTATGTTTTGTCAGTATCTGTATATTTTAGCTACAAGTATTGCCTACCCACACGCTTCATGACTATATCTTTCCAAATAGTGTACAGTCGGAATGATAATGACAATGAAAACAAAATTAAGGTTATAACAGTAAAACAAGATGAAAATTTACAATTATTATTTGTGTTTTCCTGGTTAGTTCTAATGAATAAAGTGTATAAATGTGTGCGGCATCAAACGAAGGGATATTGTAACATTCCCACCTTGTTGGGCATATATATATATATATATATATATATATATATATATATATATATGCAACACAATGCAGTTAACAATGGAGCATGAAATTGGATTAAAAGAATAAAAGACCAACACATTCACTTAGTCAACCTCCATTCTCCCATCTATATCTCCCTTTTGATTACGATTCCCCGTAATTAGAATCATCAATTCCCAATTAAAACGTTTCTCAGTAGTGAATCCAATCCAGTTTACTTGTGATGAAAGTGAGCTAGTAATGTTGGATTGTAAGATTAAACGAACACAAGAAGGAAGTTTAGAGATCACTATCTATGAGACACATGCCCATTCGAATAGCTACATAGACTTCAAATCCACTCACCTCATCTCAGTTAAAAAAGACTTAGTTGAATGTCTTAGTGACAGGGCGAGAAAGCTTACTCGTAGACCAGAAAATCTATGACAAGAAATTAGACACATCAGGAATACCTCGCGTCTCAACAGTTAACCCACTAAGATTTATCAATAAATTCATAAGAAATCGAAAGAAAAATATTACCAGTAGTAGTAGTAATACATGTGTTATTAATAATAATCCCACTACTAATGGTAATAATGGCGACAGGGTTGAGAAAGAATTCAAAGCCTCTGCTGTGTTACCATACAAGGAAGGCATCTCAGAAGCACTATGAAGAATTCTCAATAAGGCTGGCTGCCATTAAAGTATCATTCAAACTAACAAACTCGCTTAGAAACAAACTTTGTAGGTTAAAAGATCCTATTGATACAATTAAACAAAATAACCTGGTTTACCAAACCCTTTGCAACAATTGCGAGGTCAAATACGTACGTCAGTTGTTGACCAGGGTGAATAAGGACAACAGAGCCAAAAAACTTAGCTGAGTTAATAGTAGATACTAATAAGATAAGAAATCTAGAGAAAACCTCGGCTATAGCTCTGCATGCGGTGACACAATCACACGGTAGGGTGGGATAGAGCGACAGTGTCAAAAACTTAGTTGGGTGGAGGGATCGATAACCAAATCATTGTTTATCGAATCAACACCAAGTACATGGCAATAGAAATGATTCTGCACTTGTCCCAGATATATGAAAAGTTCTACTATCCTTGTCATTATAAGGAAAGAGAGAAAATCAGGAATATATAAACCCTAGAATTGTTGCTTGTATCATACCATCGTTGAATGGACCGAATTGATTGCTCTCTAATGGCATGTGGGGTCCTGTGAAGATGCCGCGACATTACCTGTGTTTTAATTACGGTAATGATGGACAGTGACTAGTAAGCGGAATTCAGGATGGGTATTTCATCTTATTCGAGACTCCTTGGCCTGATGTAATCGCCTCCTAGTGAGTGATGTTATACCCACCGGGATTCGAACTCGGGACCGATAGCCTCAAATGTTAGTGTTATTCACCAGACCACCGAGCCACGATAGCCACTTTTTGTGCAACAATACTAAAACTATGCCCGTCGCACAAGAAGTGGCTATTGTGGCTCGGTGGTGTAGTGGGTAGCGCTCTGGTATTTGGAGCAATCGGTCCCGGGTTCGAATCTCGATGGGGATAATATCACCCACTAGGTGGCAGGTATATCCAGCTAACGAGTCCCAAATAGGATGAAATGCGCATCCTGGATTCCACTGCTAGTCACTATCCATCATTACTATGCATAAACTGCCTCAAAGTTGTGAAGTTACGTAATATGAATATGGATAATAAATTGTGTACGAAACGTTTCTTGGTAAATGATACTACTTCACTGTGACATTTCTAATAAACAGACTAAAATGGAATTACGATCTACCATAGTGCCCAAGTTCTACTCCTACTATATTAATAGGACATATTTTATTCATCGTATTATAGACAGTGATGTAAATGACAACAAACGACCTCTACCAAAAGACTACAATTGTACGCATACAATACTTAGAAAGGTAAGGGGACGGTTTTGTGTTTGTTAGTACTAGTCAATCAGCAAAGAATATCTGAAACCTCAAGGAAACTGATTTCCTCTTTAAGATTGAAACTCGTATCACTGGGTGAACTGGCGGCCTGCTTGAACTCTGGGCTACCGTTTTCTATCATCGAGTATATTGCATCAAATTTCTTATTTCTATATTGTTTTAATCGTTTAATTATGTCAACCAATCGTATTGTATATTCTCGCGCGTTTTTAAAATCATTACAACCTATCGCTTCGCAAGTTGATAGGAAATTTAAGAAGAAGCACCACGGTGGATGGCAACGAGCTCTGAAGCGTATGACCATAGATCAAATGACTATTCCGGAAATACTTAGCACAAACTGCAGGTCGTTGCCGAATAAAGTTGATTACCTTCAGTCACTCTTGTCCACAAATGTTTATCGAAACACGGGTGTAATAATGCTGCAGGAAACATGGCTTCATAATCTGTATGATGATGACTTAGTCTGCTTAGATGGTTTCAAATTATTTCGACAAGATCGAAGCTTTTCGAAGAAGAAATGTGGTGGTGGTGTAGCAACATTTATTAGTACTAACTGGTCGTCCTCCAACT